TTTGTATGTCTGGCTATCTGGGGAGTGGCGGTAGAAGGGTGAGTCTTCCACTGTCCTGCAAGCATTTGGCCTCGAGGTAGAGGCACGGAGCACGAAGGTGCGTGTTGTGAAATGAAAGGGGGGAAGGGTCAGCCGGCGACGCCGCACTTCGGCATTCTCTACTGGACCAGTTAAATTCAACAAGGAATTAGTAAATGTGGAGACTGATTGATTACTCTTTATATATATTGTTTATTGCACAATACGTTTCGCACGATACAAGAAGGCGCACTGTTGTGTGCGTCTGCCCTGAATACTGTGTGCAACTAAGACTGCTGCACGTGCGTCGAGGGTGCAGCTACGCGTACCCTAGGTGTTCCTTTCCCCTCAAGGCAGGACCTCTGAGGGTAGCAGGCAGAGACACGAGAGAGCTCTTTCAAATTGCATTCAGTAGCTTTCCATTAAGGATGTACTGTGTCTAGCGGTACGTGTAACCCTATTGAGACTTTGGATGAAGCCTTGCAGACACACGTCTGAAAACCGCAGTAGCCCTCTCAACGTTGACGTAGGTCTACTCCAGGGCAAATACCGTATGCAAACAGCCGCACTATATGCAAACAGCCGAATAGTTACTAAATTATCGGTGCGCTGGAGAGCATTGGTTGACCCGGCACAATGCAGCTTTCCACGAACGCCGAACAGACACTTTAGGCTGTCCTAATATTCCATTTCTTCCTACGCAGATTAAAAGCAAACAACACACTTAATTTTTTGATTTCAATTTCTCATGCTAGTGTGTTACTCCAGCTTTGGTCTCATCATTTCCTAGTAGCTGGTAGCATGCATCTCCAGGGATCCTAGAAGCCACACATTTCCTAGCCCTTTCCCTGTGTCTTCCATACAAGTTAAAACTATTGCACCCGAGGTTTTAATGTGCAATAAAGGAAGGACGATGAATAACAATAGACAGCCGTGATTCTAACAGGCGATCATCGGGAAAGCAAGAGCCATGAAAGACCTTTCGCTGGACTTGTCGCTCATGGTGGCCGTGGTTGTCGTTGCAGCATGTTTGGCCGGTAAATTAGAGCCACTGTGTAGCATTAGAAGCAGCTCTATTGCATGACTTAGGTTTGCTCATCGGGTGAAGGCTGCGGTGCAACTGCTTGCGGGGTTGCCAGAGTGGCCACCAATCGTCGAAACGAAGAGCACTATTTTGAATTTTCTTTGCAAACAGTACTTTCTTTTCTGCCTACCAGCCATTCTGGTCAAACTAACTCGGATGCTTGTGTGTGCTCCGGACTTCGGCGCTCATTTTTGCAGCGGGGGGAGCCGTCATCTGGCAACTTTTGCGACCCAAGCACGTGGAGCCTTTTCTATGCAGAGAGAGAAAGCAAATGCGTCTCGTTGACAAGACCGAAGTGTCCCCAGACACCTACCGCTTTCTCTTTGCGTTGCAAGACCCCAACCAACCATTAGGCCTCCCCGTGGGACAGCATCTTAAGGTGTTTGGCCCCAACGTCCCCGGAGTAGTACCCGGAGAATGGTGCTCCTCCACAGTCAACTTCTCCCTTCCCTAGCTCTGTTCTTCCATCGCTTACCCCTTTTGCCTGCTCCCCTCTTTTTCTCTGCCTGCCAGTCCTTTCTCCTGACCGTCGCTTCTTCGAACCGCACCATCGTATTCATCTGTCTATCTCCTCCCGGGCCCCTCTTGGTGCATTTTGCCTTTGCCTCTTAGTTGCAGTGTTCTTCATTCTCCGCTGGCACCATCTTCCAAGTCTTCATGGCGCATGAACTCCTCTCCCTTTTCTCCTCTCGCTGATTGCCCATGGACCCGTCATATTGCTGCTTCCCTGTGCTCTACTCAGGAATGGTAAGCCAGACCTCGAGTCGTCAGCAAAAGAGATATCCCGGAAGTACTCCCCAGTTTCGTCTAGCACCGCCAGGGGAACCGTGGAACTCGTGGTGAAGGTGTACAGCAAGCAGCAAGTCCCGCCCTTTCTTGACGGAGGCAAAATGTCGCAGTTCTTGCAAACCCTCCAAATCGGAGATAAAATTGACGTACAGGGGCCTTTCGGGTAAGGACATGTTGTATGTTAAGGTCCTCAGCACCAGTACTTTTTGTTTGTGTCGCTTGATGTGTGGATCGTCTGCCACTGTTTTCCGCTTATCTGTTTGATGTACAGCAAGGCCAAATACAACGGGCGGGGTTCCTTCTCGTTAGCTTCCCGAGTCACTTCCAAGAAAAAAGTGGGCCTACTTGCTGGCGGCACGGGCATAACACCCATCTTTCAGCTCATCCGGAGGGTGCTTGAGGACCACGCAGATCCGACGCAGCTCTTCCTCGTATATGCAAATAAAAGAGAAGAAGATATTCTGCTTAGAGATGGTTAGCCGCGGGCACAGAGGAAGGGTCATGATACGGTGGTTGCTCCCTCTCATGTTGCACAGACCATAGCTACCGCAGCGTTTGCGTGCCTCTGCCTGTGCCATCATGTCTGTGCGTCCTGCTGCTGACGCGTCAGCTTATTTGCTATCCTAGAAAGTGTACTTCTGCATCTGTCTTTGGGCTCCCAGGAAAGGTTTGTATGTCGATTTTCCCGTTTTGGGTGCTTGGTTGCGTTTCACATCGTCTGCTCCTCCTCTTTGGTCCGTTTCTGCTCCCTAGAGTCGATTTTTGCGCTGTGGATGGATGCTTCTGCTGACAGAGATCGAGGAGCTAGAAAACGAATACCCCGACCGTCTCAGTGTATGGTACACCCTGGAGTTTCCGCCTGCGGGCTGGAAGTATTCTTCCGGTTTTATTTCAAAAGAGATGATTCAAGGCCACTTGCCCCCCCCTTCAGTCGACACTTTGGTGATGTGTTGCGGGCCTCGCGCAATGATCGAGAATGCGTGTCTTCGAAATCTTGCCGAAGTTGGCTATGATAGAGAAGACATCTTTTGCTTCTAGTTGACCTCTTCCAGCTATGGCTATTGTTGGACTGTTCACATCTATAGCATACTTGGCTGGTTCAGTTGTAACCTCTTTGGAGATGCTGTGGCAAAAAGCGACTCAGCAGCTAAAAAATGCGGTTCGTCGTGCGCCTGCTGGATCTGGAAATCGCACGGCAACTGCTCGCCGTCATGGGAGCTTCTTGAACAGCCGTTTGCCAAGGTAAGCAGCTATCGGCTTAAGATGCAGCAGTGAGCTGTAACACTACGTATCGAATTGATTTCGATGGTGCGCTTGCAGAAGCAGAACCGGATGCAGTCACGCGGAACTGTGGGGACTGCGGCCATAGCGTGCGTTCCTCGTGGTTTGCAAAAGCAACAAGCGAGGCAGTATACACGCATACACTGCTTTGGCAGCTGCACCTTGTTTTGACTTGCACTTACAACATTTAGAATGCATATAGCATGATACGGAGGCACAAGTGTGCCGCCTTTGGGCGCTTTGGCTGTACCTTTCCGACTCGCGCCTTGACTCCTGCGCTGGCCACAGTTCTATGAGCCACTGTTGTTTGGTGTCCCTATGGGAACAGAGTATACGTTACAGTTTTGAGGGGTCACACCACCGCACTAGCAGCAGTCAGACACAGCACAGTTGCAGGTTTTAACACGGATTTTAAACGATCCCAAAGACTCCATCGTGTGCGAGTAGTTGCTGCCGGCTCTGTAGACACAGGAGCTGCGGCCGTACGACCAGCAGCGGAGGAAGCCTCTTCGACTGTTGGTGCTGCGGCTGCGGTCGGATGTGATGGCTGAAGAGAGGCAGCAACACATTCCATAATTCTTCACCAATAACTAAGCGCACCCCGCTGCGCTCTACATGCGGCGGCCGTTCCCCTTGCTGCTCTTCTTGGTGCTGCCGTGGCAGCAACAGACGACCAACAACGACAGCACCCGCTTCCATAGGGCCCAGGCAAAGCTGCTGTGGCAGCATTAGCCCGCATTTGCTCTTGAATGCGTTTACTGCTAGTTCTGCGCGCACTAGGTCGCACTTGTTGCTGGCCGTCTCATCCGGTACGGAGGCTTGGGAACTTTGTCGTTCCTGCTCCTCGCCGGGGGAAGCGCCATAACCCTCGTAGTCTTGAGAAGATGGATCTGCTGCTGCTTCTGCTGCAGCAAGCATGGCAACAGCAGCAACTGGCGAGGGCAGCAGCTGCGCAGCAACATCCCTGGGGATGCCATCGAAGAGAGGGTGGTGTTTCCTGGCGTGGGCCTTTTTGTTGCTGTTCCTCTTGCTTAAGGCCACTGCAGTGTCCACCCTGCGTTGCAGAAGCAGCTGCAGCAGCAGCTGCAGACTCTGCGCTTCAAGGGCTGCAGTACTGCGAGCAGCAGCAACGGCACTACGAAAGCGCCCACACAGCTGTGCAGTTGCCGATTTACAGCGCCTGCTGCTGCTCGCGTGGCTGCGAGGAAGGTGCTCTTGCTCCAGCCAACGCAAAGATGCAAGACCACCACAGTCTGCTGCAGCAGCATGCTGCTGCGTGCTGTCGGAGGCACTCAAGAAGACTCCGCCAAGATCTGATGCATCTGAGCTGAGAGACGCGCAAACCACAGCAGCAGCACATACACTGTTCCATCGACGAGCAAATGTAGGGCTGTATCCGTCCCGCTAGATCTTTTTCTGTCTTTTCCATTGTCTTCTTTTTTCCTCCCTCCCTTCCCCGTAGCTATCGTGTGGCGTCCTCCGCGCAACCCCAGACCTCTTTCCCTCCTTCGCAGCAGCCTTCCTACTAGGCTCCGGGTGTATATTCAGTGCTGCTCTCCGCTTATGTCTCGCTCTGCTCTCCGTGATTCTTGCCGGCATGGAGATGTTTTCTGCATTTCTCAACGCCCCTTTACCTCCTCAGCTGCAGCAGACTACAAAGGCTTTTCCTGCGATAGAAGCGCCAAGAAGAACTTCTTAGTGCAGTCTCACCTCCTCTTCACTGTAGGGGCGGCCACGATGGAATCGGTGCTGAGCCTCGGCTGCCTCTGCTTGTGCGGCTCCTCCCCTTCCTCATTCTGTTGCACCAGCAGCTGCAGCTGCTGGTGGTGTTGTGCCTGGGCTGCCGTTGATGCAAGAATAGAGCCTGGACGCTGGCCGTGTCTTCCACGGCGATGCAGGCACTCGTAGAGGTGGTGTATCCAACTGCAGCTACCCTCGCCAGGAGACAGCGCACTTAGCTGCTTCGATGCAGCTAAGTGCCGCTCGGAATCTCCTGCTGCACTGGAAGCAGGCACGACGCGTGAAACAAACTCCGCTGCTTGCGCAGATGGCTGCGTTGCAGCTTCTGCTGCGGGGGGAACCTCGCTAGGGAGAGCTGAAGCTGGAAGAAAACAGGAGTCAGCTTTCGCTGAAAACTCGACAGTGCCTACTCGAGACACAGACCGCGTGCTGAGACTCCCACTGGCAGCCTCTGCCGCCACGCCAAGGTCACTTCTTCCTCGTTCCCCCTCCTCCTGCTCCTGCTGATGCTCAGCTGCTTCGCTGTGGCCAGCTGTACTGCAGCCACCGCTATAGTCTTCAGAGGCTTGTCTGTGATGCCTGAGGAACCCCCCGTGCCGATGCGCAAACCACGGCTGCTGCCCTTCTGACTGCCGTTGTTGCCTTGAGAAAGGCACTCCCAAGCTAAGCGTGCTGCTGGTCGCTGCTGTACTGGCGAGACTGCTGCTGCTTCTTGAAAGACGGGTGCCCACAAAATTTTCTGGATTCAGCCGACGCAGGGAGGAGGTGCTGCTGCTGCTGCTGCTGCCAACGCCACTAAGGCAGTTCCGCTGACTTTTGCTGTGTACTAGCGAAGGAGAGACAGATTGTGCGATGTTCTTGTCGCTGTTGCCGCTGCTGTTGTTGCGTGAGGGCAGCGCTTGCAGACGCGGCAGGCTGCTACTGCTGCTGCAAGTGCTGCTGCTGCTAGAGTTGATGTTGCCACTCCTGCTGCCAGGGTTGCTGCAGCTGCGACCCTGGCAGCCTGGTGTCTGGCAGCCAGGGATCGATGAGCTGTTTACGAGATCTGCTGATTTCGCGAATGCCCTAGGAGCGACCACGTATCGTTGCTGGACGCAGTGCAGCTCGTGCTGCTGCTGCTCGTGGTGTTGCTGATGAACCCTCAATCGCGTGCGGACGGCCGCAATGGAGGAAATCCGACGCTTGCGGCCAGGCAGCGCCTGCATTGTAGGTCAGGATTCCCTGTAGGGAGGGAGTGGCGGCAGCTGTGAGGAGGCAACTGCTGCAAGACTGGCTCAGATAGTTCTTACGTAGATGGAGTTTGCGCGCGTGTCTGGAGGCCTCGAACCTCCAGGTGCAGCTTTTAGTTTACGCTGCGTGGGTTGCCTTGTCTGGTGTCGTACAGAGCAGCAGCGAAAACAGGGTGAGAGAGGGGGGTTCACCGGGCAGCTTTGGGGATATAAGAGGGTGGTGGTGGTGGTGGCGCTTGAATCGCGGTTTTTCGCCAAGTGTGTGCTCTCCCGCATGACACGAAAATGCACAGAATAAGCGCATTTGAGCAGACGGCTGATGAGGCAACACCTCTCCGGGGTGTTGCAATAACTGGCACGCTTCACTTGGGGCCCCCCCGACCGTGGCGCTCCAGGGTTGTACTCTGAGAGGGCACACCGCGGGGTACCTCTGAGAGGGAGTCTCAGGAGGGAATTATTTAAAACCGAAATAATATTCAGTAAGTGGTGCTTAATCCTAAGACGGAGGGGGGACTAGCGAAGCGGCAAGCGCGAGAGCGTGCCTGCCTTCCAAGGAAGGCTCTTCTCCATCGAAGCCTCCGCATTGCAGCACCTCCTTCCAGCAACGGCCAGTTCGAACTCTTGAGGGGCCCCATAGGGGGCCCCATGGGATTTTGGAGGGTGGCTCAGCTGCATTTCAATGGGGAAGCCTCTCCGCGGGATGGGGGGAGTGGTATCACCTTCCTGCTCCGGAGAAGATCGACGCATTTGACGCCACCTCCCGCTTCTTAGGCAAGGAGCGCGCATTCTTCGGGGTTACTGCGCTCAAGCAGCAGCTGCCTCTCGCCGATGGCTGCCAAACTCTTCAAGGATTTTCCCCGGCTCGAAAACTCTCGAGGGCCTTCTCGCTACGGAAATGCCTCCTGTGCTAGCCAGGGCATGCGCCGCCTCACCCCTCCTCCTCCTGCCCTCCCAATGTGCGCTTGCAGCTCATTTTAGAGGCTCTGCAGACGGCCGCCAAGCCACAACCTCCTGCCGAATCTCAGCGACTCGGTGCTGCGGGACGGTGCTCAAGAGGAGAAGCAGTTGCCCCTTCTCGTGCCCTTCAGCAGCAAGAGCAGCAGCAAGAAGAGGAGCAGCAGCAGCAGGAGCAGCAAATTCACTCCTTCCTCCGTTGCCGCTCAGTGGCGTGTCAGCTCTGTGGCTGATGTCTGCGTCCTTCAGCGGCAGCAGCAAAGGCAACCCCAGCACCCTACAGACACAGAGTCAAGAAACTTTCCCCCAGGAGCAGCACTCGCAAGAGCATCTGCACTGGGAGCAACAAGAACAAGCTGCACCCGATGAAGACGCACTGTTTGAATTCGTGTGGGAAACAGAATTCGATGGAGGTGCCTCTCTCTTCTTGAACCACGAAAATGGTGAACCCCCCCACGCGGCCTGTGACAGTGGCGGCAACCGCATCAACAACAGCTGCACGCCTCCCTGCACCGCTGCGCTCTTAGACGGGGTTCTCGAACAGCGACATTTGCAGCAGCTCGACGAGTTTTCCCAGCAGATGCATCAGACGCAGCGAAGGGAGTGGCTTGATCAGCAGGATGAAGCCTCCTGCTCTCCTGGGCCTACTGCCCCCGAGAAAGAGAACGCCTCATCAGCAACACCATCAGCAACACCATCAGCAACACCATCAGCAACACCATCAACAACAGTAGTAACATCATCAGCAACACCATCAGCAACACCATCAGCAACAGTAGTAACACCATCAGCAACACCATCAGCAACAGTAGTAACACCATCAGCAACACCATCAGCAGCAGCAGCGACAGCGAGACGGCATGTATTGCGATTGCTGCGTGAACAAGCTCAGGCCTCTGTCCTTGCAGAAGTTTCTCCTGAAGTGCTTGTTGAAGCAGTTGCAGCTGCAGCTGCAGAAGGGCGACCTGCTGGGAGAGCCTTTGCGCAGCTTGGAGCGATCGAGGGAGCTCTTGTGCTGCAAACGAGGAAAACAGGCTGTCTCCCTGTCTCTTTACTTGCCAGCGCTGCCGATGCTTTCCGCACTGTTCGTAAAATGCCCCGACAATCTCAACGCCGACTCTTCTAGCGAGCTTTTGGTGCTCTCTCTGCTAGGAAGATTTTCTCCCCTAAAGTTCAAGGGAGGACTGCTGCCGCTTCTTGCTGTGTTGCACACAAGCGACGCCTCCGTGCGGATGCTCCGTCTTTGCGTGTGCTGCAGCTGCGTATCCCGCACACGGACTTGTTGGTTTGCAACATCCCCTCGATCGTCGCAGCCCTTGAGGAAGCCTTGCAGCAGCTCGACGCGAGGAGAGCCTCCGAGCCAGCTGCAGAAAAAGCTACGGCTCAGGCGGCAGCAGCAAGCAAGTGGGCATTGCCGCTGCTTGAGTGTTTTACAGCGGCTCGAGTTGCTCATAAGACGACGCAGGACTTGTTGCTGCGGCTTCTACTGCTTCCACCCGTTCTGCAGCAACTGCAGCTGCCGCAACTCGCCTCGCTTGCCGTTTGCGCTGCTTCGCAGCCTCTCCTGGAGGTCGGCTACCGACGTCCTACTGTGTGTCTCTTGACTTCGCTTGCTACCCGAGTGTCGGAGATCCTCAAAGGCCTTCCCGAGGCTCTTCAGAGGGGGCACAGCGGGGGAGAGAACCACAGCAGCACGCGGAGTGAGCCAGCCATCCTGTCCAAGAGCTTCCTTCCCCCCTATGGAAGCTTTCTGGGGCCTCTCCCCAGCCGCAGCGCTGCCTTCCTCGTGTCTGCCTTCAGTCGAATCGAACGGTGGGAAGAACCACCGCAGGAAGCAGCAGCATGCATGGCCTTCAGGGATCGCTTGCTGCTGGAGCTGCTTCCCCCGGCCTTGTGCAGCATGACGGCGTGGGAGCTGGGCATCACAGCAAACGCGCTCAAGATATTCCACGACCAGCTCGAGACTAGCAGCAGCAGATGCAGCAGCAGCAGCAGCAGCAGCAAGAACAACAAGAACAACAACAAGAACAACTGCTGTAGGAGCCCTGACTGCGGATCGCAGGCCGCACATGATCCAAGGATGCTTTGCAGTCTTCAGCAGCTCCCACACCAGTGCACGGCTTTGGTGGATGCCTCAACTGTGCAAAACTTACTGGCGTCTCTCGCGGACGCTGCTCTTCGCCGTCTGCCGCAATTTAGCGTCCAGGTGATATCCGACACCTGGCTCTACTAGAGAATCTGCTGAGCTCACGCTACCTGCTAGTGGCTTTAGCGATGATGAGCATGCTGCGTGTCTAGCGATGTCAAGTCTACCTTGGGATCCTTGGTGGCTCAAGGGCTGATGCAGCGGTAGAGAGGCTCCTAATGGCGTGGTGGCCGGCTAAGCGGCAAGGCGGATTTCGAGCTAGCGCTGATCTCACTAGACTCCTGGCTTTCTTAATAACGGGATCAAGTCTCTTGTGTTTTTTTTCAAAGATTTTTACGCAGAAGAATTTCTTCCCGTACGTTGCGTCCCTTCAGGCTCTTACCGCCGTGTTGGAAGCGTTGGAATGCTGCAACAGCGCCCATTCCAGGGGCAGCAAGCTCCCTGCCGGTCTAACAGCTGGCATAGCGCTACAGCTTCCGCGACTGTTGCAGTCCACTGCTCCTCCTGTTGCTGTGCCGCTGTTTGTGGCCATGGCTGCCTGTGGCCTTTCGTCTCCCGCCATCTCGTCCTTTATGCTCTCCTACTTTCAAAAGAAGCGCCTCCTTTTCTCTTCGAGGCAGACGCAGGCAGGCCTAACACCCTAAACAGTAGATGCTTTGCAGCAGGTGTGCGAGACAGGTGGACTGGCCGCTGTGTGAGCCGTCGCTGGATAATCACAGCTCCTTGTGCATTGCCTTGCGATAGTGCCGCCCTTTCTGCCTCTGCTGGTCGTGCGGCTGCAGGTCTTGATGCGAGTTTTGCTTCAGGCGGGCTATGTGCGAGGCCTTGTGATTGAAGAAAGCCTCAACAGCGCGGCGTTTGCCTCGCTCTCGCCTTTGTGCTTCGCTTCTCTCGCGGAGGGAATAACTCGCTGTCAGCCCGGCTGTGCTGAGGTGTATAGATCCATAGCAGAGCACTGGAGGCAGCGCAAGGAAGATTTCGCACCAAATCAGGCCTTGAGTTTCGCTAGTGCTCTGCTGCAACATGCCTCCCTGAGACAATTGCAGCAGTTACTGCGCGGTTCCGCAGCAGTTCAGCAGCTACTGCTGGATGCTCTGCACACTGCCGCACAAGGAGCAGTCGCTGAGACAGGAGAAACCACTAAAGGGGCCGCAGCAGCAGCAGCAGTAGACCAGACGGTCTTCAGCATGCCGACAGAAGCTTGCCGTCGAGAAGCAATAGAGGCAGCATCCAAAGCAGCAACAGAAGCAGCAATGGCGCTAGGAATCTCGAATGCATCTTTCGGAGAACGGACAGCTCCAGGAGGGCCTAGTGGAGCAAGTGCTCCGCCGTCACGCAGCTTGATGCTGCGAATGGCAGCCTCCGTTGCTTGTGCGTCTCATGTGGTGAGAGCCGCTGGATGCTGTAGCGGAGGCAGCACTCGCAGCAGCGGAGACCGATGGATTACCGCAGGCAGCAACGCCAAGAACAAGCACAATACCCGTGCGACAGCCAGCAAGGGCGCAGCGCAATGCACAGAAGCATTCGTTGGTGAGTCGCAACTGCATATCACTTTCTGTGTTTTTTCTGGCGCTGCTGTATGATCGTTGGGAGTATCTTTGAGGAGTAGTTCAAAAGTTGTTGGCCTTGAAACTTCTGCAGTGTTTTGGGGATATTTTATCCTTTGCATGTGCATTTGCATGCGTCTGAACGGTGCAGATATCGTCGTGAAGGGCTGTAGTAGAGGCACGTTACACGAGGCAAACAAGGACTGGAACTTGCTGCAAGAGACACAGCGGCTCGCTGGCTTTGCAGGCAGCCAAATGCTCCAGCATTCAAGCGAATCGCCAACAGTTATTGCGGGAGCAGCCGGATCCCTTGCTCTTGCTGAAGACAGCCAGGCTATATGCAGTAAAAAGCACCACTTGCGAGAGCTCAGGACTAGCCACACTAGCCACGGCCGCTTCCCCTCTCTAGACGAGAGAGGAAGCGGTTGCTGGTTATTTGGCGAGAAAGTGCGACTGCTCCCCTATAACTGCAGCACTGAACACAGCAGGGAGGACTTAAATGCGATTTTGCTGCTGATGAACGAACTCTTGGATGTGGAAAAACAAGCCGCCAGAGATCCCCTCCCGCCGCGAGCTGTAGCGGCATCTAGCACTGCAGCTCCTGTCTCAGCAGAAAGCCTGACATCCGAGTCATCAGCTTGCACAGCTAAAGAAATGATGAAGTCAGCCCTGTTTGTTGAGGATGCAACGCAACGCCACATCAACGGCCTTTGTGTTTTGGTGCCTAAAGCCTTGGCTCGCATGAGCATGTGCAGCAGCAGCGAAGGACTGCAGACAGGAAATAGGGTCTTGTCGCCTTCTGTCGCACATAGAGCTGAGCAACCCCAGCTGCAATCCAAAGTGGCAGCCCCTACCGAGGTACACGCTTTGTTTGTGTTGCTAGATGATGCCCATTGTCTAGCACCCATGAAGAGTGGAAGACAGGCGTCAGTTTTCTCACCATCTCACTGCCTGAAGGAAGCTGCAAACCGAGACATCAGCAACCTTCGCCTTTTGAAGTTCTACAACGAAGACGTTGCAGAGCCACGGCCCGTGTTACTACTGCTGCCGCAGTGCTCACTGCAGCAGGAGCAGCTTCATGAGAGTGAGTGTTTTCGCGCTGCTGCCTGAACAAAATAGAAAAATAGGGATTGCGACTCATTATAGGTCTTCTATTTTACGTCAATTTCCACAATGAAGGACGTAGAGCAGCATTAAAGACAGTTTGTTGGACTGGCCTCAGCCTGTAGCTTCAAGGCGTTGGCGTCGAAGTGTGTTTGTGTGTGTGTATGTGTGTATATGTATATATCGAGCAGCCTTCAAGGACCTTCCAATCGCCTCTGTTGTCGCTCTTGAGTCTCTTAAGCGTCAATCGGCTGTGCGGTGCCCGCGGACTGTTCTTATAGACTATCCCAGATGGTAAGGGCCTCTTGTGAGACAAACCAACAACAGCCAGCGCAACATGGATCGCTGCGGGAGAAGAGAACTTTTCAGTGCAACAATCGTAGTGGTGGCGATGGCAGCGACACAACCTCCGCAGCAGCCATCCGCCTAAATAGGGAATGTTGCAACTTTTTGGTTTCCAAGTTTTCCGTTTAAAATTTTTGTGGCCTTTTCTGCCGGCGTTTGTGCAAGGGTGCTAAAGCACAAAGTTCAGTGCTTGCTTTTGTGGTGTGTGGGCCGTACATTGCATGCATTTCTGCTTAGGTCTGCACTGAGCAAACCAGAAAGACTGCGCAACCTCCAACAGTTATTTGCCTCGCTTTATGGGCATGCATAAGGGGCCGCTTTGCTGCGGAATCTGAACCAATACAGGCTGAGGATTCGGAAAGCGATATGGCAACAAGGCTCATTGTTTGAAGACCCTTGGATCCTTCGATATCTGTAGACCAAGTCTCAGCATGCATGCCTCTGGAGGGCGAAACGACATGGTTGTACACTGTTCTCTTGGTTGCCGTACTTGCTGCTGCTGGTGATGCCGGCGTTGCTGGGGGGGTGTTTTACGTAGTGAGTGTTGTGGAATCCTCAGTTCTGCATCGCAGGCATCGCGGCGACTGCAGATCATTATAAGCTTAAAAAGGCATCTCTGCAAGCTCCTCTGATGTCTCATTGTTGTTAATCGGACGGCAGCAATAGTAGAAACAGCAGCAAGAACCACAGCAGCACTGCCCACTGCAATGGTGCAGATCTAAAGGTGAAACTCTATGCCGCGAAATTACGGCTGCACACTTTTTTCTGCAACGTCTTCCTGAAGCAGACTAGGTAGAGTTATGGTTAGTCCCTACACGTGCGTGCGGAATACGAAGCTGATGCTCTTCCTGAGCGCTCTCTGGTACACTAGAGCGGCCCTCCCCGTTAGCAAGTCGGCAGGCATGCCCGTGGCCGCAAGCAACGCTAGACTCGACATTGCAGATTTCGCCCGCACCCAGAGACACCAAAGATACATTCTATTGTAAACGTGGAGTGCCGGAACAGAAACAAGCGGCTTAGAGACAGAGAGAGTCCAGAGGAGGCAGAGCCTTTAGCACGACTACGAGAGGTGGAAAGCGACATACGGTCTCTTCTGTCAGACGCTTAAGACCTGGCAACGGCGAAGAAGCTTAAAGCATGAGAAGCATTTGTGACATTGGACTGTAGTAGGACGACTTGAGAGGAGACACAGCCGAACATAAGAGTGAGAAGCCGCACGAGGAGAGCAACGCATATATAGATATATATATCAACATACACTGCAATGGGATACGAGGCAGCGCGGAAGTTTCCGGGGGAGCTGCCACAAAGAAGCTACACGAAAAATCAGCAGGATAGCGACGCAGGGCAGTGTGTATTTTCATAGAAATGCTCAGTAATCAACACGCAGAGACACGACCCGTCAAGTCAGTTTCTGCGCCGCCATCCGAAGAGTCAGTGAAGAGACGCCTGAACGGTCTCCAGGCTGGAATGGATTTCCCCTATTGCTTGGGGAGGGGGCAAACGGATTAGTCTCTACTGGCACTGGAGGAGCAGACGGAGGTTCTAGGCCCTCCAGAGCTGCAGCAGCAACGACTGCCCCTCTGCTGCTCTCATCAGCAGTGGACAGCGGCGCAGACGCTGAGGTGTCTGTACTTCGCAGCTGCCTCGCAGCAGCGGCAGTCGATGTAACATTGACGGTCTTGCTTTTACCACGGGGACGAAGCGCTTGCCACTTGTCAATTTCTTCAGCCGATATTCGCACAGAGCACTCCTGCAACAAAGCTACAGCAGCGAAACGCATGCAGCCGGAGCAAAAGCGCATGGAGACTCCTGGTGCGTCGACTGCAGAAGCGTCCTTCTCCGCATGCAGCTGCTTGTAACATGCCCGCCAGATACGTGGGGAACAACACCTGGCAAGAAGCAGCATGCGTATTTACCTCGAAGGGCTGCTGGATCATCGGCGGTACATGTGAGGGCTTTAAGCAGGGTCTCTGCCTTCTCCATCTCACGCGCGACAAAGCGCTGATACCCTGAATCGGAGGCAGCAGCAGCCGAACTAGCAGGCGACACGTTGGCAGCTAGCCAACAAGGGGGCTGCAGCCTCGTCGGCGCTCAAAACAACAATTCAGGTTGGTCACAGAAACACTAGTCCGAACAGTTGCAAACGAGGAGCAGCAGCATTCGTACGCGGAAGCAACACACTCTTGCACCCCACCTGCAGGTGGCTTTGGTTTGCTGCTGCTGGCGCTGCTGCCTACGCTGCCAGGGACGGCAACAAGGAGCAGCGTCTCCTTGAGAGTCGCCGTATCCAATAGAAGCTGTTGCGCCCCTATGGTGCCTACCCGTTTGCAGCTGACAAGGCCCTCGCGGTACTGCGCGAGAACTTGCTGGAAAAAAAGCGCAGCAAACACACAGCACGAACGAATTTAGCGACCACTGCCTCACGGCTGCGCCGCAAACCACTAAGATGCAACGCATGCGCAAAGATATGCAGAGGAGACGCCGCTGTGGCTGCTCCTAAACGGCATTTCACGGAGCTCTCCACGCAATCGACAGCACCCATGCGCGGGTGGAGACAGTCAGATAGTTCGATGACGGGTAAAATAAGCCGCGTGGAGGAAGACAGCTGCTTGCCACGCGTTTGGTATACCCGTGAAAGAGGGAGTCTGTAGACACCTGCAAATGTGCGCCATCCGTAGACATGGCTCTCTGAGGGTGCCTTGCGTAGTCAAAATATACACATTGGCAGCTCTCACCTGAGCAAGTTTGTCGGCAACAAAGCGGAAGATGGGGCTGCTGAGGAACTCGGCGATGCGGCGCATGCCATATTTGAGGGAGGCACAGAAGGCGAGGACGGGATCGGACGCAGCGGAGACGGCAGCAATCGAGGTAAAGTTTGTCTTGGACAGGAAGGATACGAGGGAGGTAAGAGAGGGGCCAAACAAGTCCAGCAGCAAGCGAATGCACCGTCCTTCGAGAGCGAAGAGGAGTTCTGGGAAGAAATTCGCAGCGGCAGCAAGACAGCCTACCAGTACACTACCTTTGGCGGGAGGAAGGCGTGCGCAGTTCATGAGGAAAAAGAAAGAAGCAGACGCAAAGCGGCTGTGCAAGAGACGGTTGAGGCAGTTAAAATTGAAGAGGTCTCTCCCGATGCGCAGCTCAGGCAAGGGAGGCCAGAAGCGTGGCAAGTTCTCGCGGAGGTGAAGCGGGGGGAGAAACAGAGGGACTGGAGGGGGGGGCGTGAATAGGCGTAGATATCACACAGGCAGTGGCTGTCTCTACACACAAAGACGCATGTACATGTATGTAATATATATATGTATGTGTTTGTGCCTGGCCTACCGTTCTGCTCGTGGAAGGAGCACCTGGCCTTGAAGGAGTCCTCGATTTGTGCTTCGATGGCTGCAGCCATCCGTTGGAGGGTTCTTGTGAAGTAGCTGCAGCTGCCTAAGACGGCAGCAACAACAATGAGTTCCTGAGCTTCTTGATCTTCGACATCCGCTTCTCCCTCCTGATCCTCTGCCCTCAAAGACGGGAAACAGCCAGTGGCCACTGCTGCAGCGAGCGGCCCCGTTAGGAAAGCTTTGGAGGGAGGCAGCCTGAAGAGGAGGCATGGCAAGCAGCAATTCTTTCTCCGGGCAGATCGGTATCGAGGCGCTCAGTTCGCTGTGTCACTGCGGATGATGCGTGGGGGGTGGGGGGGCGGAGAGGGGGGAAGAGGCGGCAATAGCGGCGCATGCAAGGACTCTCGGCAGCGGCTCGCTGCCAAGAAGAAACTGATCGAGGCATTAGGAGGCGAGGAGGAAGGGAAAAGGCATCGCGGACGTTCGGGGAGGCTTCATCGATATTTATATATTCATATGCACTAAGCAGCGTGTGCGGGTAGGAAAAGGGCAAAGGAGACAGGCACGGGGGGAGGGGGTCCTCAAGGCTTTTTTCAGAGAGAAACACATTCTACGTCAGAAACCGACGAACTGTGGAACGGCCAAAGAGCAGCTCTTACCGCGTTTCTAAGACATTTATATACCTAACAAAAAGCCGCTTGAAGGCTGAGACGACGTCCGCCATCGTCTGCTTATTAGAAAAGGAAAGTGTCAGCTCCATGAGGCCCTTACAAGCGCTGAAGACTTGGCTCGCGGAGGAGTAAAGGCAGACTTCGCCCTCTTCCCCAGCAGCAGCGGATGCTGCTCCGGACTCTCCGGCCGCCTCTAGCGACAGCTCTGCATCGAAGGGGTTCTTGCTGCTGCTGTTCCTGCATGTCGTGCAAGCGAGGGCTGATACAGAAGCGTTGCGCAGTATTTTCTCGCGCTGCAGAGCCAGAGACAGCTTGTTGCAGAGCTTTTCTTCTTCCGCTGCCAGCCACACCCCCATATACCCTTCGAAGCCCGAGGAAATCGCGCCAGCAAACGAGACAGGGGGAGGCAAGCGGATAACTTCCTCTGCTGCTGCGGCTGATACCACGGGGTCCAAGGTACTGCCGTCTGCTTCCGCATCCTCTCGCTCGTCCTGCTTCAAGGCAGCGTCTACACGCGCGGCAAGGGACGGTGTGGCACCCTGTTGCTGCTGCACTTGCTGCTGCACTTGCTGGTACTGCTTGTCGATTGAGGCTGCAGCCTGCAGCGCGGCAGCCCGAAGGACTTCTTTCTGCTCCTTAGTAGGCTGCGTGGGGTGCTCCTGCTGCGGCTGCTGCACATCTTCCGACGGCAGCAGCAGCTGCAATTCTCTCCTCTCTGCAGCAAATCGCGAATCCAAACGGTCCTCGAAGACTTTCGCCTCGCGAATGAGTGTCAGCAGCTGCTGAGGCCGCAAGTAGTGCTGGCCAATCTCAAGGAGATCCTGGAAACGTATAAAACACACACCCAAGACGCAGACTCCATGGGAAGGGGGGCATGCATGCCCAGCAACGGCAGGGAAAACAAAGCACTTCCGCAAGGGTTATGCTACCAAAGGGAAGCTGGAGAGACAGCGGAGAACGTGCGCGAAAAGCACTGAGGGAAAAGGGGGTCTTGGAGAGAAAGTGCAGCCTGATGCTATGGCAGAGCTACCCTCGTAATACGGACCGCATCACAGCAAACAGAAAAGTAGGGGCAGCTAGTCGTCTTGCTACCAAGGGCAGTTCGCAGCAGAGGCGACAACACACCCGAACCATAGAACACACTGGCGCACAGAAGAAGACGCGTATGACCACCAACTTAATGGGGCAAAATACACGTCAACACAAAAGAGCACTCGCGAGACAGGGGGACGATGCAAAGAGAGAGATAGATAGAGAGATAGATAGAGATAGAGAGAGAGATAGAGATAGATAGATAGATAGATAGATCCAAACAGAGACAGACAGAAGGAGACAGACAGAGAGAGAGGGAGGGAGAGAGAGAGAGACAGACAGACAGACAGAGATAGAGAGAGAGATAGAGAGACAGATAGACAGACCAGACAGAAATAGATGAATAGGTAGATAGGTAGACAGATAGAGAGAGAAACGTGGCGGCACAAAAGACGGTACCGTCCAGCTTGCATATGGATTTGTGCATATCGAGCGATGATTGGGGAGGAGTAGAGCCCCTCTTACCGCCAATTGTTGCTTTGTGACTCGGCAGAAGTGCATCGCAAAGGCCTCATTGAAGCGCCAGTGGAGGGGGAGGATGTCTCGCAGGCGAGACTCTGCATCCCGAACGGCCCGTCTATACCAGCCGAAGCGGCGCTCAAAGAATGAAGCAGCGGCAGTCGATGCTGTTTCTGCAGCTGCGGCTGAAGAGGGCGTTGATTCGTCTGCTGCCGCAATGGCAGGCGCAGGAGGGGGAGAGAAGGTGGCCATGTATGACGTGAGGAGACACCCCGACACAGCAGCAACGACCTGTTCCCTGAAGCCTTTCACCCCGACAGCATCCACACAACCCCCTGCATCCCGCAGCTTCTCTCGCCAGTAGCCGCTGTTGCTGCTGTTTTCGCCGTCTACGGAATTCTCAAAGTCTTCCAAAAGCTGCTGCTGCAGTCCCTCACGCAGCAACTGCTGCTGGTGGAGCAACTCGGCGACTCGCGGGATGTGGCGATACACCTCGAAGGAGCGGCACAGCGGACGAAGCGCCAGCAGCAGCTTCGCCGCTTCCTTGTACCGTCTGTACAGGGCAGCCTCTCTGAGCTGTTCGACTGCGGCGGCAATCATCAAGAGCTGCCTCAGCGCGGCAATGGACTTCGTCAAATTCCGCTTTGCTGTATCCAGCATTTTGATGTCGGAACAGAGGGCAGCCGCTTCCTCGTCGCTTGCCGCGGCAACCTGCTGCGCAGAGCGAGACAGCTGCAACAGCTCCTGCACACGTGCTGCAGTCTGCTGCTGCTGCTGCTGCTGCAGCTGCTGCTGTCGCTTGCCTGCTTGCTGCCGCACTGCTGCAAGGATTTCGGCCTCTATGCGCTGAATCTCGCCACCGACCTCCCTAAGACGGGCATCCACGCGTGAAATGCTTTCCGTTGTTTGGATCTGCTGGTTCAACTCCCTTATATTCCTCTCGTCCTCGCTTTCATCGCCCGGGTGTACAGGCACCTCCAGAGGATGCAGCGGCAACTGGCTCGTAGGCCGAGGCGCCTCTGATGCGGAATGCGGAGCATCTGGCAGGGAGGGGAGCGCCACTGGCGTGTGCTGGTCAGGTGGCATCTCGGAGGAGGCAGATCGAAGATCAATCGTCGCTGCAGGCATTCTGCTGACAGAGCCACTGCCGACGCCGTGACTCTCGCTGGCCCTCTTTACTGCTCCCACGCTTCTGGTAGCTGCGCTTTGGGGCTGGTAGCTGTAGTGAAGGCAGAGCTGCTACTGCTGCAACTGCAGAGAGGGCTGCAGATACAGTCTTTGTTGACTGAGTTCGGCTGCCGCGCAGTCAAAAAACAAGGGTTTGGGTGCAGTTTGCAGTGCATGCACCTGCTCCCACCAGGAACGGGGTGGGCTCAATCTTTGGGGGGCTTTGTACGTCGAGCTCCTAAGTATAAACACTAGACACGCAGTTGCTGTACCGAAGAGCAAGCGTGGCTGCTGCTGCCGCAGCAGCAGCCAGAGACATTTCTATGCACGTGATCGATCAGCTAGAGGCAAGCACAATGACACGAAGAAACTTAATATATATTTAACAGAGCAAGATGGAGCTATATGCTACAGTACTGCTGCATGACCAGCTCTCGATAAAAAGACAGCCCTACTGCTAGTGGCGTGCTGCTCCGCATGGCTGAGGCTGCTGCTGCTGCCTCATAATCGCCGGTATTACTATTTAGTCATTCAGTCATATTGGCACTTTTACAGAGACTGCTTTGATTTCTTCATCGTCCCGGTGGTTTGGGGACTTGCTGTCAGCAATAGCCGCAGCAGCAACCGCTCCAGCCGCACCGGCGACAGTAGCTGCAGCAGCAGCGGCAATAGCTAGAGGACTCTTTGAGATTCCATATTAAAATTTCCTTCTTTGCGTCTGTATACCACCGTAAGGAACCCCACATTCGCTGCACTTCTCCTGAGGCACCGCGGCCAAGGAAGTATTACCCGTCTGGGCATGCAACAGAAGAGGCGGAGGCGAGCGCACGGCAGGTGAAGGACGAGCCAAGACCAAGAGCCTGAGCGCTGGAGTTTTGTCAGAGAAAACGGCTTTTCGGCAGAAGGAGCAACTGAAGGAAGTGGTAGGAGCAGAAGAAGGAGTGGAAGGAGCACGCAGCACCAGCGACAACCGCAGCAGAAGGAGCGGCCGAACATCCAGGGAAACATGCTGTGGCAGCAGCTTCCAGCGATGCCATTCTGACGCTTCAAGTATGCCACAGTGTAGCTACAGGGCATCATCGGATAAGGCATCCGTGATGCCGCTGCGTTTGCAATGTTAAGCGGGTGCTACGGCTTCTGTGGGTGGACCGACGTACAGCGCATTGTGGCAGAGCAGCAGCAACCCGAGCAGCAGCAGCAACCCGAGCAGCAGCAGCAACCCGAGCAGCAGCAGCGCGAATGACAGCAATCTCGAAGGAGAAGATGTCACACTGGATCGGGGGGGATGGAACGGCAGGCGCTGCAGATGCTACGCGTGAAGCCGCCCCCCCAAAGGAAGCATCTGCGACGGCAGCGAAGGCAGCAAGGCCGTCAAATCCAGCACAGCCTTCGGCAGCAACGCTGCATCCAGAAGAGTCATGCATTTTGGGCACTGCAAGCACTGCAGCGGCAACAGCAGCAGCAGGAGTTTGTGGTGTGGAAGCTCAAGAAGCAGCAGCAGCAAGAGCGACACCAGACGACTCAGTGCCTCTCGACGTCATAGCAGTCACTGACGGCCAGGATATAACAGAAGCGGCTGATATATCAATGGCGGCTTCGTCCACTGCACCCATAGGTAGTACCCTAGGGGCAGCGAAGGAGCTTTTCGCGCATCCAGCTGCACGAGAGATCCTCGTGAGCGAGACAGAAGGAGCAGCTACAGCGGCTGCCGCAGCAGCAGCTGCAGTTGCTTGTGACGCTTGCCAGATCTGTGCAGACTTTTGTAGCAACAGCCGTTGCCTGCGCTGTCTTCCTCGACGGCAGCGCTTTCGCATGCAGCTGTGGGGACTGTGCTGCTGCGACTGCTGTGCCTGCTGCTTTTGTAAGTCTGAAGCCGCTGCCGCGCATGCCGCAGAGGCTGCCCTTGCTGCTGATCCTGGCGTAGAGGTGGTAGCTCGCTACAATGTAGCAGCAGCAGCTGCTGCTGCTGCAGGCGCTCATCATGTGGCTGCGGCGCATGAGTCTGGGTGGAAGAAAAGCGCAGCATCGCCAACAGCATGCCCGAGGCAGCTCGGGAAGAATGAAATCGAAGAGGTCCCCGTTGAATCTCTTCCTCGTCGTGCGTCTACTTGCGTCGTTGTTGCCGCCGTTGCGGCAGCGGCTGCTGCTGCGCCTGCCGCTGAAGCGGCAGCAGTAGCTGGTCTGCCTGCAGTAGCTGCAGCAGCGGCAGCTGCTGCTGCTGCTCAGCAGAAAGGGCGCTGCTGCTTGGAAGACGAAGTGCCGAGCCGCATGCACAGGCAGCTGCCTGAGGAACGGCTTCTCCCGCAGGAGCAGCATCAACAGACGCTGCTGAGTGCTCTTGCAGATATATTTTCCCTGTCGCCTCATGAGCACCTCGAGGAGCAAAGGTGTGTGTTGTCAGAGCAGCGGCGGCAAGAGGAGTTGGAGCGCTCCAATCCTGGCGTGTGCTGCAGAAATATCGAACGTTGCTGCCACAGCAGCAGTTGCAGGATTGCTCCGTATCCTGCAGCAGCGGCGACTGCACAGCAGGAGCAGGAGGAGCAACAGCACCACAGGCCGTCTTGCCGCCGCCCTTTGCAAAAGTGCTGCCGATACCGTTGCAGAGCGCAGTGCCTCCATCGCAGTGTACGGGGACTGGAGGAAGATGACCAGAAGCGGGAAAGTGACAGTCGCAGCAGTATCCGAATGGCTTACGATTTTGTGATGCGGTGGCTTGTTGGACGTGGAACGCTGGCGGGCAGTGGTAGAGCTGAGTTTCCTCTCCCGCACAGCAGCAGCAGCAGTGGGGGCAGAGGAGATCTGCCATCTTTTACTCCATGCCAGGTGTACAGACACTTTTTGTTGGGTTCCCTCTTGCTCTATGCGAACAAGAAGGTCTACAAGATTAATGGCTTGCTGGGAAGACACCCGGGAGGCGACACATGCCTTCTCAAACACTTGGCTCAAGACTGCACCAGAGACTTCCTCTTCCACACCCGCTGTGGCAGGTGCCTCTGGAGAGGCTTCCTGGTAGGGGTTTCTGAATCGTGCGCTGGGTGGACGGACAGCAAGCAGCAACGGCTGGCCGAATTGAAAGAACAGTTCTTGCTGCAGTATATGCAAAAGCACCAACCAGACATGCAGCATGAACACTCGTACCAACAGTCATGGCTGCTGTTGCAGCAGCAACAGCAGGCGTTTAAGACCCTCAAAGATGCGGGATGCAACAGATGCCGCCCAGAGAAACTGGGTGGACTCAGAGCAGGAGAGGCACTAGCAGAGGACGAAGATAACAGGCACATGCCCGAGGCAGATGCCTAGGGCACATATATATATATATATATGCATCCTTTTGGCCAAAAGTTTGTTTGGTACTGAGATCTGCTGCGAGCGGCCTGTGGTGAACCGCACAGCGCCTGCTAGTAGATGCTGTGAACAAGATCTGCGGTGGATGCAGCAGTCGCAGCACTTTGTTTTCTGCAGTGCATGCAATCCCAGTGTACAGACACTTGAACAGAAGCGTGGCACGTTGATAAAGCCGTTACTTCATGGAATATGCGTCTCCCCACACAATCGTGATGGAGTCAGAAAGGGCTGCCGCAGTTGGGCAGTGACAACTACTCGCACTGCGCCTTATGGGCGCTCGAGGGTATTTGTGAACCCCAGCTTTCATGGGCAAGAAAAGCTGTTGCAGTTAGTGGAGGTGCACGTGGTGTGGTGTAACGGTAGCGTAATGTCTCCAGTGACCGAGGAAAGGGAGGTATTCTGAAGTGTATCTGCACGTGAGCTGACTATGGAAGCCCCTACTTTGTTGTTTGAGATGTGCTTGGCACTGCGAAGGCGCATCACTGTTTTGTATTTCTGCAGCAGCAAGTGCAGCACTGCACACGGTTTGTGGGTTTTGTACTAAAGAATGCAAGGGGCAATAGCGGCAAGTGCTATTACTGGCTATTTGTGGCCTTGAATACAAGGTCGACTGTTTATATATCCAGGACGACATATGCCTCGATACGTTTTGACTCATCCTGTAGGGCTGTGGAGAGCGCCTCGATATTGGAAAGGCTCGCCAGATCCTCTAACACAACCCATTCATCATCAGCCCGCTGGTGCTGTTTTCGGTGTTCCTGTTGTTGCGTCAGCAGCAACCGCATTTGATGCATTGTAACCGCTTTGATTTCAGTGCCTTGGGAATGCTTCCTTGAATCAAATACTTCTCCATACACCTGACACGTCGCAAATAGGAATTCTCGCAGTTGGTTTTCCTCTGCCCCTGCTGGATCCGTCCCTCGATAGATCCTAAGCCCCTTTATGCTGCACCCAATGAAATACTGCTCCCCATAAAGAGCGTGCATTTCATTCAGGAAGTCGAAAAGAAGGCCTGAGAGGTCAGTGCCTCTTGCAGTCAGAGGGCAGCAGCATCGTGGCTCCACGGACGCTAGATCAGTCATGTAATTGAAAAGTCCAAATGAGAGGAAACTGAGCACGCCCTTAAGAGAACGAGCCACTGCATGGACGATTATGTCCGCTGTGTGATCCTGGTATTCGAATCCACACGACGAACTGTTACCCATGGCTTGGGCGGCAGTGGTTGTGGGAATGCTGCTGTGGTCGTCTCTGGGAACGAGGGAAAACTGAAGCTCGGGTGTGAAGGAAAAGTCTTCGCTCTCGACGGCTTCTGCCCCCCCAGCTGCTGCCGAATCTGCTGCCACGTTCGCTAGAGGTATTGCTGCATTGTCGCTCCAAGTATTTGGTTTCTGCCTCCGGCGCTGCGGCTTCGACTCTACAGCAACTCCTCCAATGAGAACAGTCTGGACGCCCTCTTCCTCCTCCATTCTACACCCGAAGCCGCAACACCTGACACTGCCTACGGGTCTTTCAGTCTCCGCAGCTTCAGGTGCCTCGACAGTCTACCACCATACTAAGAGGTAAATAGCAGTTTTAACTCCCTGATACACGCTCCTTCGGGCTTATGTTGCTGGACTTTAGTGCCTAGAGGCTGCGTCGAGCCTATGGATGCGTGGTGGCGAGGGTTACCCGGGGGGCCCCGTATCCATTCCTCGCGTGTTGTGGTTAGAACGGTTTCAGATTTGCGGATCACAAAAGGAGAAATGTACCTTTTTAAAAATGAAACTGGCGTGCTGAAGAGGGGAAAGTACTCCGGCGATCAGGGGACGTACCTATGGGTTCCGGCTTGTGATACACTGCTAGGGTTTAGGATGAGGGTTTCGACTCGTGGCGCGCGATGCCTGTGAACATTTCTGGCTAACTTGTGGAAGGTTAGGCCAAACTATGAGTCAAGCTCGTTTTAAATGAGTCAATCGAGCATAAACGCTTCTCGCAAATGCCGGAGATGCTGATGGACAACTGCCAAACCCGATGCAGTGTAGCCTGATCCATGTGCCCTCTTTGTGCATCCATCCATTCGCAGCACCTGCTGGCATTCATGTGGGGCACCACTTGCCACATGACAAGGTTTTTGACCCGTATTCCAAACTAAGGCCGTCCTAATTGAGGTGTTGGAGCTCCTCCAACATGTAGGAAAGCCGACTGGAGACGTTCTCTGCCACCGGTCCGGTGTACTTGCATCGCCAGTCACAGCCTCAGCAGCCGCACCTGATACATTAGCAACGTTGAGGGGCAAGTGCTGCAGCGTCAGCTGATGCCCCATGGCGGCCCAAGCAGCAGCAGCCTCAGCTGCTGCACTTCCGGAGGTTCCCTCCATCACATGTTACCACTGCAAGAAGCTGCAAGAATACGATGATTCATCACTCTTCGTCCTGGTACTCACTTGCAAATCCTGTCCTTGCTGATGATCTCTTGACTCCTGATCATCCTGCCGCCGACTATGTCCGTAGTGCCGTTTCGCCCGTTGCACATACTATTGCTGCTGCGTTTCAAGTCGCTGCTGCATTGCCTCTCTTGCAACTGTCACTGCTTGCCTTGCTGCAGTGCTATCATTGCCAAACGGTCAATTGCGTCGAGGGCGGTGAACAAGGTTTAGGGGGCAAGGTGAGGCTCCTGTTGCTCCAGAGCTTGCGGTAGCTTCTCCTGGTACTGCTGCCAGTGGTGTTGATCTTCTTTGTTGCTGCCTATGGTGCGAATAGTGCTGTGCGATCAAGTGCGCCGTTCTATGTGAGGTGCTTCATCGCCAGCAGAAGGTGCAGAAATAGCAGCCCACGTCTGAAATGCTGCATTCCGTATTGTAGGCGGCAGCACCCTTGCGAAGCCCTGCAGGAGCAGCTTTCGTGACACCAGAAGAGGTTTCAGCACTACGACTAAATGTGTAAGGCGTTGCGGATCACGTGCAGGCGATCATGATGCAGTGCGCCAACTGCTATGCCCATAATCTGGCTCCGCATTATGCATCGCTAATTCGCTGTTCTAGGTGTTATGCGATCTCTGCCACCGACTGCCAAGCGCTACACAGCGAAACGGAATGTGGTAAACCAAAAAAGAGCCAGCAAACCGCTAGAGAATCTGCCACCGACTGCCAAGCGCTACACAGCGAAACGGAACGTGATAGAGCAGAAAAGAGCCAGCAAACCGCTAGAGAATCTGCCACCGACTGCCAAGCGCTACACAGCGAAACGGAACGTGATAAACCAGAAAAGAGCCATCAAACCGCTACGGAAACAAAGAACGCCGAGGATAAGCCTACGATGGCTCCTGAAACGCCCTCGCTACCCCCGCAGGAGGCGCAATCGCAGGGGCAGTCAGAATTGCAACAAGGCGGCAGCACAGATGCTGCTGGAGAGGTAACGTTGGCAACGAAGGGAGCGATTGGAAACACAGTCATGGCAAAAGCCAAGCTATCTAAGTCACCCCCGCCGTCGCGGAAATCAACATCATCGGTCGTCGCAGCTCAGGCACCAGCACCACCAGTCGTCGCAGCTCTGGCACCTCCTCCAAGTTCAAAATGTTCTCCTCCCCCACAAGTGCAGCCGCAAGAAGAGTCCATCCTATTGCCTGAAGCAGCTACTCCTGACTTTGCTGCATCTGCTGCGTCTACGCCACGTAACACAATGAGGCGTAGGCAGTTGCAGGCGCATATGCTGTTGCCGCCAAAAGCATGGTCCCCCCTAAAACTGCTTGCAGTCGCCAAGCGCCAGTCGGAACTAGAGGCGCCAGAGCTGTCGGCTCACAGAGAGTTAGACGGGCTTGAAGGTCAGGAAGAGGTGATGCACCATTGCAATCAAGAAAAATATGGTGCAGGAACAAGGAAACGCAGGCCAGTGAAAGAAGTAGCGGTCCCCCTGGTTGCACGACCAAGCCCTAGAAGGAGAGGACGCACGGGGAGTGAAATGCCTCTTGAGCCGCCTGATGGCATCCCACGTGTCGCTGCTGCTGATATTCCAGGTGTAGATACAGTAGCTCCAGGAGCATCTGCAGCAGAAAATGCGGGGGAGCCATACACATTTCGTATGGCAACGGAGCGGCCTCCTGCCGGGCCTGCTGCTATTGCTGCGGGGGCCAGCAAGCCTCTTATGGAGTTCTCCTCCGATGAGGACTAGCGGACTATTCGCTGATAATTAAACTAACAAAAGTTATACCTTTTTTGCCTTCAAAGTGACCGTCCTTCCGCTGATTGCTACACTTACATCCCCGCAGTAGGCGACGCCTATTTCTACCCAGCGTTTCTGCAGTCTTATTTCCATTTTTTGTTTCTCGTATCTCCATGCTTGTGAAATATACAGCCGTCGCGCTGCGCCCGGTTTCATTCTGTCAGCCAACGATGCAGGGCGTTTCTTCGAAAAAATTATATCTGGCTTCGATATCTCCTCATATCCGCCCTTGAGAAACTAGGAAACTGCAGCACACCCATGGCAGACTTTATGCCACGAACATCTGTATCTTGGACCCTAAGCGGACCCAAAGTGCGCATAAAGAGCCCCAGGGATCGAATACTCTGCACAACGTATCATTTGTTATTCTCAGGCCCCGATTCACAAAAGGTCGCGGATGTATGCAGCAGCTTTTTCCATGTTTTCCTGTGTCTTTGTTGGCAAAGGGTGAAGTAGCTTATCAAAGGACTGGTAAACACTTTTTACTTCTTGTTCCGGAGCACACGCCTGTCACTAAACTAGGGTTTCACCCTGCGCATGGGTCCAAAGCTTAAAATCACTGATTACTGCCTGGACTGCCCGAGATGCACATGTCTTGGATATGCATTGGCAGGTATTCTTCACAGTATTTGATGGCCGCAACAGTCACAGAAGCATACATCGCGATAGAATTCTCTAGTGATTTGAAACAGCTGCCCCTCAGGTACTACTGCGTCTTTTGGGCTCTGGTGGTGGCTCTGCGTTTAGGAGCTTGGTTTGACAAGAACATATGCATGCCCTGCGCGTTATGCGACTCTTTAACGGTATAAAGGCCAAGAAATTTTTCCAAGGAGTTTTTGATAGCTAGCCATCCGCTGTAGGCCGCTAAATAATGGTCATGTGGTATCATTCACCCATACTGTCCACCGCTCTCAGGGTAATGTCTGAAGTGATGCTTCGGTCTGGCACTGGTGGAGGTGGCCTTTCTGACCAGTGCTGTTTCCCATATGCTGGTGGAACCTGTGTAACATCAGCATGATTATTGGGCCTATGACTTGAGGCGTAAAACCATCTAACGGTTTTTAATTCCCTACGTAGAAAATGCAATGTTGAAGTGCTAACAATATTTGTGCAACTAATTCCAGGAAGGAGATAGGCGCCCACAATCTCTGAGTCGTTGATGGATTATTGTGGGCGTTTTTGTCTGGTTCCGGCCGATGACTCCGCCGTGCTTCACGCGTGTTGCCCTTGCATCCGGTTTCCCCTCTCTGTAGATGTTGCATCTGCACTAAGTAGTCCTTATGAACACACACTCCGGGGGGTTCGCTGCCGAACTACCAGTTTTCCACGCAATCGACGCCTGGTCCATCTTGTTTCATCTTTGCGCCTTATAGGCCTTCCCCCCTATGGTCATCATAACTGCCATTCACTTTGCCATGGTCGTATTTTGCACTATTTATAATTCATTTTCACGAACTCCTTTTTGGAAGAACCTTTAAAAATCTATCCCTCGCGTTCTTTGTAGCCACGTGTGGGGGAACTTGCCTGCTCAACAGACCGGAGGTCACTATCTATCTTTCTGCTGTTCCTTCCGTGAGGTGGCTTTCTCCATAGAGATTACAAGCATAATTGTGTTAATCAAAGCGGTAGAAATATTCTTTCAAGCTCTGGGAGGGAAACGTTCTTGGTAAAGCAGATTCGAGGCTTCCTCTGACCTCCCACCTTTCCGCTCTAGCCGAGGCGCATCTCTCAGGAAGATTCGAAACGGGGCTCTAGAACGTTCCATTGCGTTAAAAGGTCTTCTAAGCCCTTTTAAGTCCCTAGAAAATACTAATTCTCTGTTTGCCGGGACTCCTAGCAGTGTTTTCCCGGTGTTTTTTCTTCCTGTTGAAGAAAGGATCCTAATGCTATTTGTTAGTGAATGAGGAGGGAGTCCTCAAAAAGCAAGCGGGAGCAAGCTCCTGAATTGAATTATTGCAGGGATACAGATATTGCTGAGCTTCTTCGAGAACGAAGTCCATAGGTGGGCGCCCAGAAACCCGGGCAAACCGAAAGCCTCCCGGGGCCTTTCATCTTGCTCATGAGTAGCTGCATACCTACAAAGGATTGGGATGACTTCGTTTTTGTGTATTTTTGCGAGTCTGCAGAGATGACACCACCTGATTTGAGTACTGTAGAAGAAAGTATAGGCGGTGCCTCCTCCGCTCACCTGTCCCAGAATGCACAGAAAGGTGGAGAGACATCGTGGAAGCAATGGACTTTTTTTCTAATAGGCGCAGCTATATTCACTGCAGCCCTAGCCTTGGTGGCCGTTGCCATTACTGGTAAGCCAGAAAATCAGCCCAGCACCCAAAGTCCTGCCTTCGCACACAAATTGCTGTAACTGTCACTCTTACTATAACGGCAGGTGCTCCTATGCCTTCTCTCCAGACTGCCGCTTTGACTGTCTGATAGCACCCATGCATTTGCTTGTGCACGCTACTGACGCATGTGGCTGCTGGCAATTGTGTGTGATTTGCACTGCAGCAGGAAAAATAGAGAGTTGCATCGCCTCAAGCAAAGACGCCAAGCTGCTCGCTGACAAAGAGCATGCGGTGGGGGAAAGCTACTTGCTCCTTTACAATTGCCTTGGATTCAAAATTAAAAGAGAAGTTTATTAAGCTACTTGTATCGATGAAATCGCCTGTCTCATTCCACGTTTCCTCGGTGCCTGGCCACTCCCTTTTCTCACATGGTCCCCACCCAAAAATTTTTACTTGTCCACCTTCATTGCATGTTCTAAAGCTTCGCTGTGCATAGAGATGCCGCCCTGCTTCGTGGGCTCCCAACGCCTTTGATAAGGCCATTCGAGTTACTGGTGCCCATTCCTCAGCCTCGGCAGGATGTCGTCTTCTCGCTTGTGCATGTGGCCATTCTGCGCTTAGTCCACCCGAAATCCTCGTCTTTTTGGAGTTTCTCGGGATTCATTGGGGTCCTTAAGGGTACACATGACGACAGGCGAGCAGATTGTGATCGACTCAGGTAATCCACCTCTTTGCCACCATGCCCGATTCCATGCACACATATCCTTCGTGCCCCCCGCAACCAGCAGCAAAGACACTAAACCCATTCGTTCTTCAAGCTTCTACCAGATGCATCTGGTAGAATAAGTATAATAACGCAATGTACATCAAAGTGTATGATTTCGGTAAAGGTAATACTAGGGTGGTACAATGAGTATATGTTTTCTTATAATAACCTTTTAACCCATCATCTGGAAATCGAGAGAGTTGCCTGCCACTGTCATCCTTTCAGTGCATCAGCGTGGCTATTCACACGACCATTTTTGAAGAAAACATACGATAAATGGGGCTGAAATAGCATTATGGGCAGACAGCCAAGGTCTTCTGGGTGATTACGGTCGCTCTTGCTTCAATTCAAGGCTTGCTATGAGACTTTTGCTTTCTGCCCCCTTGTGCAGCAACAATAGAACTGCGCTCTGCCACCGGACAACTGCTTCAACACGCCGCACTACCACTTGTGCCCCTCTCAGCCAATGCAGCTCTGCAGTCCCAAGGGGATCCTATACTACAGGGACAAGCAATTGAGCCACCTACGGAGCAACAGCACAGGCGGCTTATGGCAGCGCACATGAAAGAAATCCGTAGATTGCAGCAACTGCAACAATATCAGCTGCACCAACACCACCTGCAACAAAAGCAGTTTTTTCATCAGCTGGCAGATACGGCCGGCGCTGCAGCTTTGCACCGCGCGATGGCAGTCCCTCCTGAAGTCTCTCAACTGCAGACTTCGCCTCCCTTGGACCAGCAAAGCCCGAAGCTCTCGCATCAGCAACAGACACATACGAATCCGACGCCAAAGCAAGAGCAGCCGCACGAACGGCCTCACGGACAGCAATCAACGAAGATGCGTCTTCACGTACGGAGGATGAGCAGCGCGTCCACAGGCCCAAATAAGTATCAAACTCCAGACCAACCCATCCCGGTGGCTGTCCCCGCGGCAGGACCAGGTGAACCAACAAGCGCAGCACAGTTGAATAACTCGACGCCAAGAATGGTGTGGCCAGCTTTTGAAGGAAGTCGGGATAAGGACGGCTTTTGTCCTGCCGGTAGTGAGGCCACGGAAGGTGAAGGTTGTGAGCTGCAGCAGCGGTCTGAAGGCGGCTCCGAAGGAGAGGTTGATCAAGGGGTGTCATCTTTGCCACTCCATGCATCAGACACAATCAGTTCAGCAACGCCTCTAACCGAGCCGCATACCGAGTTGGTTTCTTCCAGGGAGCATCAAACGGAGCTCAGTGATACTGTTTCTACTGAAGCAGCAGCTACTGCTGGGGCTGCCAACGGCAGCAGAGCACCGCAGCCGCTAGCTACTGCACCCCAGCCCGTGGTACCTCTCCTAGTTCCGCTGCACAGCTCCCCTCAAAGAAACCTATTCGCCACCCAAGCCGTCGGAGGGATGGCGGTTGTAGCCGATGCTCTCTCCAGAGTTGGCCAGGCCATGCGTAAGCATTGACACCTAAGGGGAGTGGGTAGGGTTTATCATGATAAGGCGTGTCACGGTACCCGGTGTGTTTTGTCAGGAACACTATGTGGTACTAGGAGGCTCTCAACTCTGGACATAGCGTGTTTCTTCGCTGTAGCTGCACTTCCGGAGGATCCTACGAATGGGGGCTAACAGATATAGGGTTGTATTACACACTTTGGTTGATGCCATTAAGCCCTTATTGGCGGGATTTGTTCTATGGAGGCCTCGCCTGTGATTTTTTCATGTTGCTGCAGTGGCTGCGCCTCTTTCCTTTGCCAACACTATGGATGCGGCGAGTGCTCTATTTTCTTCCCCCACCTCTCCGCTAGTCAATTCCACACTCCAAGTATCTCCCCTGAATCCATACCTAAACCCATACGGAACCCTCGGCTACGTGGGAGCCCCGTACTCTTTCGGCTGTGGCTCGTTTGATCCCCACTGCCTCTACACACCCATTTACTAGGACCCATTGGGATCCTGACAAGTGCTAGGTGCTACCCAGAGGCATCCGCAGCACCTACATTGACTGCAGCGGTATAAGAGCGGCTGCTGGTGTCGAGGCGTCTTGCCAACCAGGCAGAACTGACAGCAGCACGCCACACGCAGGAGCTTGGATTTATCCCTTGTGCGCAAGGCTTGCCATTAAAACAGCCGCACAGCAAGCCAACAACCTGTAGCTGTCCACGTATCCCTTGAATGGTTGTACTATGTAGCAAAGTACAGGGGCCCTATGCATAGCTCGTAGACAAAAGCAACAGCTTTCTATTAGCACTTTAGCTGAAGAAGACTCCCTTGAAGTTACGAGGACCCCATGGACTGTGGATTTGTAGTGAAGGTCTCGCTTGGGCTTGCTCGGGAGTTTGCTGCCCTATTGGCACTAGCAAGCGCGCCGATGCTGTATGTCTCAGTGAAGCCTATCTACAGCTGAAAACGCAAAACCCTATGCTTCTGTTTGCCATTGCGCTCGTCGGTAACGAGAAGGAGCTTCATGGCCGAATTTGGCACTCATTTCTGCAGAAAAGCGAGGTACTTCTCTCTCGGGATCACACAGCAAGCTTCTCTGAATTGGCTTGGGTCGCGTCCTAAGGCGTTCTAAAGTGGTTTACTTTTTCTTTACTGATTAAAAGCAAAATACAGAATGGGGTCCAGGGCTCACGCTCCACAATAGCTGTTTACGGTGATATGTCTTTCAATGACTCGAGGCTCTGGCGGTAGTCTGAGCCCCAATCGTCTCATAGACAATTTCTGCCTCTGTTTGACGAGGGCAGTACATGATCGTTTGCTCGGGGCGGATTGTAGCATTTGAACGTAGCGGCACCGTTCGGCGGCTCTCGCCTGCGCGGCCACCTCATGAGCTACAAACGCTGTCTTCTCTGCTTGGGCTGCAGCCGCAGCAGCGAAACGGGCTCGGCGGGCAGCCATAGCGTGGGCCATGCTAGCTATCCATGCACTGGCATCTAGGTCTGGCGGGGAAGGAACGGCTAGTGATTTATTCCGTAGCTTCCGACAACGCTCAATGCTGCAGCAATCACAGCACCTGCACTCACAATATCGATGGCAGATGCAAGGGCAGCTCCTGGTATCTCTGACAACGCAAATCATCCGCCGCCTGGGAATGTAAGTTTCGTGGTCCATTGTGACCGGGCAAGCAATGACTCTTAATTGAAATAAGCCACAACTTCAGGTTAAAAAGATTCATAAAAAGAGATAAATATTTGCCTCAAATTATATCATCCAGCTTAGCCCAAAGCACGCGTTTCCCCCGCGTTCCAACCCGCATGCAGCTGCACTGCTGTCGAGGTGCTCTGCCCTCACCCAATTTCGAAAGCCCGGCAAAACTGTTTGTTCTTGGCATTATTTAAATGGTACGTTAAAGTTTGCTTTAAACCTTGCTTATTTTGCCACTTTGCTCCTCTCCCACTAGCAGAAAAATCCGCTCTGCGTTGCCCTTCGTCGGATGAACACGCATAAAATAATTTTATAAGAAATCCCGCAAATGCGGATGCCTTTGTAGGCTTCAGAGCTTCTGCTACCACAGGTTTTGTTGGCTTCGTGTATTTCATGAGGGGAAGCAACAACTGACAGCATATTCTCTGCAGGCGAGTGCCATTCAGCCTCTAGCGCTGAGCTCACCCACTCTATGGAGTAACGGGTGTTACTGTAAATTGTGTATGCGAAGTTCGCAAAACACCTATTTACTCTTATGAGTCACATCATGCCATTGAAGCTGGTTTTGCTCGAGGCACTCCATTACCATCATAACCTCAAAAAGCTAATACCCTAGATTCGAGGCTCCACCTTTTGCTCAGTTTTCTTCAGAAGATGACCTGATAAAAGGCCCAAAACGAGGCAGTTTGCGACGCCCCTAAGAAAATTTTTAGACCTACACAGGAAGACATATATGCCTGCATTTATTCTACTCTCGCGGTGCCACGTTTGTGATCCGTGTTCAATCCCATAAACTAATGCTGAAACTACGAATCTTGCATCCTTACATGCAAGTTTTGGCTTTTACTGAGTGAATAATTCGTTTAGAGGAAGCAGTATTAGGTTGAGGGAAGGCTCGAAGTGGTATGCTTCGTATGTATTTAATCATGAAGTAACTCATCATGCCCTCAAATTCCTCCTCAGTCCCCCATTTTCTGTGAAACCCCGGAAGTGCGTTTGGTACCGGAATGCTGAGCAGGTACTCTAGGAACAACGGTGGCCATGGTGGCGAAGATGAGGTAATGCAGTAACCTTTTACGTGTACATATGTTCTGTTTACGAAAGCGTGCTTCCCAAATGTGGAAAGCCAGCGACTGCAAAGTACTAGAGATTCGTGTCCCGTCCCCACCTCCATAGCTAATTGAAGAGCATTGCTCCTTTTTTGTCAATCGCTCTAGGGTTAACATCAGCAATATTCAACAAACCAAAAGCAGCATAGCTGCCGCCCTGGGGACAAAACCTTCTTGTGGGACACTTATTGTACACAACATGCAATATTTCTCCCCCCCGTCAGATGCGTTCTCGAATTCATTCCTCTTTTGTCTTTCCTCGCCTGTTGTCTTTGCCTCTCCCATAAAGACATTTATGGAGAGGCAACTGAGAAGACAGCTGCCTACAACTTGGTTTTAATCTGAAGTTGCTGCTTCGTGCTGAGGTGTACACTTCGTTGGAGCACCCCACACTGGCTAATACTTCAAGTCCTCATACTTTTCTCTTCAGCGTCCCCTGTCCGCCGCCTTCTGTGTTCTTTCACATTGGTGCTTTCGTGAAATTTCTGTGCCTCCTTGCGTTTTTGCTTTGTCTTCGTTGAAGTAAACAATTAGCGATTGTATTTATTTTATCAGGAGAACAACTGGCTGCACTTGACTGCAAGAAGCGAGCTGGGGGTTCGCCTTAATGCTACCCAAAAGCAGTATGCAGCTTAGATACGGAGGCAGAAATATTAAAACGGCAAGGAAATTCCAATTTCTAGCACTAAAAAGAGAAAATCTACCGTAGTATCAGCGATGTCTGGGCTCTCCCTGTCAGGCAATTTTTGAAGTGTGTGTCTCATACTGCCAACCGCTTCTCCTATCGAACATGATTTGCGTGTGAGGAAACCAAGCAGAATTTCTGGAGAGGCCATCAAACAAAGTGTGTAAAAAGATTTGAGGGATATAATTTTCACGTGCTGCTGGTTTTTGGCTTTAGTGGAAGCGTATATTTCCCGAAGTGGCAGGCGCCATAGAAGTACTAGCGAGAATTAGAGACAGCAAGAAGGCAAAAGGATCGGGGTTGGAGAAAAACGGACCTCGTGTAGGACCTGCAGAGCTTCTTTTGATTGTCTTTTTATCCTTATGAAGCTGCTGAATGCCGCCTGCTGCAGTGCTACCATGCGAAAGGACGTCTTTCTGTCCGTTGACAATCGTGCATCTTTCGACCTTTAGTCGTAGGAGTCGCGATACTTGATAGCATGTACAGCCAAAAGGCAGTACTTATAATCGATTTCTGAATATGCAAATATGCTGTCGGCGAAAACTTTTAGTCCCTTTCTCCAACTACCCCTCCTGCTGGCGGCCTCTCAACGTGCAGGACTTCAGCGTGAACGTCGACACATGCATGGGTTTCCAGCCTCAGAAAGGGAACAGCCCACTTTTCTCGAGACTTGATACACTGCCTCTCTGGGCTCGACGCCTTGTTGGAGAGGCAGAAAGCTACTGAGGACTGATCAGAATGGGGAAAGAAAGCACGGGGAAGCTCCTCCCAGCTTCCACTTCGGATGGAAATGATACTCCCACACTTTAGGGCCAGTAATAAACGCACGTCGTGGTTCTCGGATAGCAAGGGGTTACGGTGCTGACTACTCGCGTACGAGTGACCGGAGCACAATCCAAGACAACGGAGGAGTGCACCCGGTGGGTGTAGCACGGAGGTGGAACAGACTTAGCCCTCTTTCGGGATTTCTTTCGGCCACAGCAGCAGCTGCAGTCACAGCTGTAGTGGCTGCAACATGGGCAATACCAATATTCCCGCACTACGCGCACTTCCCGGGTTCCCCCGTACGGGTCCACGAAGACCGGGACTGTCGCGTACATGGTTTTGCTGCCTCTTTGTACCTTGCTTCGGTGAAATAAGTTTCTTAAACAATATATTTGTGCTTCTTAACGCAAAATTAAAAACGTAGGGGCCGCTGTGGCCTTCTATGTAGCAGAAACCTAAATAGCACTGAGCCCCAATTCTGCAATGCACCGCGCGAGCAGCATGGCATACCCTGCAGGCTTTCATGGTTTTTTTCAATCCTGGCTTAGCCTTATTTTGAAATTCGCATAGCCTAACATACTGAGCAGTTAAATTGCAAAAACAAGGTGTAGTACTAAGATGTAAAACGCCTAGCTGCTCATCTGGTCGAGGGGAAGGTGACCACAGCATTGATGCCAAAGACAAGAACAGAAATCAAAACCACAGAGCTTGAAACTTAGTCCACAACCACAACATAGGCTCCTTATTGAAATTATGAATGTACTAGAACCTGAATCAACCCCGGGGAGCTCAGCACGAGGGTTTCTTTTATGGGGGAACACGCGCGTCGAAATATTGTTTTACTAACAAAACCAAAAGGAATAGTTCCTACGCCCTTAACCCTAAGCTCTAACACCCTACACTCTAAGTTCTATACTGTACACCGTAAGGCCTCGCTGCAGTGCTCAGCACCTTCACCACTATAATTAATCGCGTACGCCGTGAGTCATATTTGAGCCACTGTAACAGATGGAGCTCATTGAAACCCTAAACTCTACAACCTAAGATTAAATGAAGATTTCACTATAGATTTGCTTCTTCCCCATGGTAAAGAGATGCAAACGCAAGTTATTTGCTCATGGGAAGGAAATTCCACATGCAGGATCTTTATCTGATTCAATCTCGTGTTGCATGGCCTAGCTACAGGGTCTCTAAAGCGCTTATTTCACTGATGACTTTGCTGTGCGCTTAGCGTAGGTTGGTAATGGGACATGAAAGAATGGGGCCTGAAATGGTAGAGGGCGAAGGACGGCATATAGTGAAGTGCTCACCTGCCCTGACCTCATTTGTTCGCTTCTCTTGGCTGAACCCGAATTCCTGTGTTCTTCTGCCTCTGGCTCGATAATCATTGCTATCCATGCTGAAGCAGTCCTCCCTCTCTCCGCAGCTTTCGGTGTCGCAGCCCACCTCCCTCTGAATTTGTAAGCTTTCGGCTGAATATGAGCTTGCCTCACACTCCTTGCACTTCCTGTAGTCGCCCCTTCTTCCCTTGGTTTCCCTAACAGCCCATGAAACCACACAACCCTACAAGATTCTGCTCTCTTGTTTCTGCATGCTTCACCGTCTCCTGGCTCTCCGCTCCGTGGGCTTTTAAAAGCTTTTTCCTTTTTTACTTTTTCCGGATAAGGGAGAACTGCATACTACGCTCTTGATACACAGAGCAACCAGAGAAGATCGGTTTCCCCTGAACTGCTGTCTTCCAGTGGTTCTAGCCCTAGCAAATGAGCTCTTTTGTATAGCTGTCTTTGGGCACATAGTACCACCAGGCCTCAAAGCTTCAAGGCCACAAGCTCTGGAACAACAAGCGCCTGGTGACCCTTGGAATTGTTGGATGGAGGTACATATATGGCTGTATTTAGGAAGAGAAATGTGAATGCAATATTGCACGTACAGCTATTTATCAGCCTAAACAGAAGTGTAGGGCGATACTTACACATCTTTTCAAAAGTCCAGCAAAGTACCTGAAATATCCCTTCTGTGAAGTCAACTAAAAAGCGAATCCAAAGGTGAAATGAGTCCATTATGTAACCTGCCTTAGAGGCACGGTTTGATTCTGCATTTTTGAGAGCCGCATAGAAAGTATAAATGCATAAGCATACGTATTTTGAACGGCAGTTAGCCGTTGGTGTAAGCTACGAGCCTAATTGTATGTTAGAATCTAAAACTTGCAAACCTTGCACCAGCGGCAGAACAGAACGCACGCTACGCTTGCCTGGTATCCATCAACTTGCATGGCGTGCCAGGGGCTCCCAAAAGGCTCGACACAAGGGGCAGCAAATGCGGTATTGCATAACCCATGGGCGCCTAGATACCTAAAGGTCCCACAAATGGTCTCTCTCACTGCGAGAACAAAGACAATGACCAGCTTTGAGTAGTTGGCTCTTGGGAAAAAGTATATGTAGGCACCCTAGCCCATATGCAGAAGTGGTCGTCTAAGTCGCCGCTTTCGGCCTGAGAGCGATCAGATGACTACCTGGTATTGGTAGCCTGTGTGTGTTTCCCCACACTCAGGCCTTGCTTCTGCCTCGGCTGCCTCAGCTACAGCAGCAGAAGCAAGAACAGCACCAGCTGCGGAAGCGGCGGCAGGAGCAGCGATTGCGGCGTCTGCCACTCTTGCATTGGCTTCATCTGCGCCAGCTACAGGAAGCTGAGGGGGTAAGTCGCAGGCTGCAGCAGAGGCCGTCGGTACTTGTGTTGATTTGCTGACGACAGGGTCACTTCTGTGCGTGATGGGCCTTCCAGTGTGCCACTGCGGTATATGCAGGATATGTGCTGCCACGTGCTCTAGGATGGGCGCGGCTTCCTTTCGCATTTTCCTTTGTTCAGCAACGGTCACGATGCATGGAGACCCTTTGATAGTAGCATGCGGCGCTAGGAATAGTGGATTCTGGTCAATATACACCAAGTACCGCTCGATGAAGCTGACATGGTTGAACACGTCAATGTGTTGCTGTGCGAGAAGGAGCTCTGTGTTGCACTTGCTGGTACTGTTGCGGATACCGTACTTGCAGCTGCGATGGTGTCTGGGTGACCTAAAGATGATTGTGCAAGCGCTATTTGCCGTGGCGCTCTTCAAGCGTACGGGATACATCGGGCGCTGCGTTACTACCCTCCCCTCAGGAGTCTTGCGGAGGTCCGCTGCAGTTGCCAGGGCCGAATTGGCACTGACAATCCAATCCGTCTCATAAATACCGTAAAGCACGACTCTTTTAAAGCGATTAACGGCGAGAATAGGCACTTCTCCTGGAACCACGTGCGTCTCCCGAGCCGCCTCGAAGGCCTGTGGTGGGGACGATAAAGTTGCGGATTGGCTCGTCTGGCCGCAGGATGCCAGTACTCTGGTTCTCCCGTGCTGCTGCGGCTCATTCGTGGTGTTTCCTTGTTCCTGAAAGATTTTGCTGGTGTTTTTACCCGTAGACGGCTGGAAATTCAGGATGCCTGAGGATTGCTGGAACATTTTAGCGCTGCATGCGTCGTCTTGAGACATGGAAAAGGGGTAAGTCATGTGGCTCCTCCCTGCGCGTTCCTCCTCAGCTAAGGCAGCCAGAACGCCTTTATCGCTTTGTAGCAGGAGATCTTGAGCGTAGTTTGAATTTGGCAGGAAGCGCAGCCCAGCCACGGCGCGGGGCATCGAGCGGTAGACTGCAGAGGATTTGTAGGCCCCCACATGGGGAGAAGCCAGGGTACAGAAGGTTTCGAGCCGAAGTTTGGGGTGTTGCAGAGCCTTCAGGAGCGTATTATAGCAATCCGGTACTGCCGACGCTTTCTTGGCAGGGCCAGTTGCTTGCTTGTTACTCGGGGGGAATAGCAATTGCTGCAGCCGCCGGAGCATCACGAACCGCCACAGAAGGCCACCCAGAGAATGCCCCACAGCAAAAAGGCGCACTTCATCCCAATGCTGCAGTAGTACTTGCAACTCGTCTGCAAGCAATGGCACTATCCGTGCCATGCAGGCGGCTACCGATTGCCACGTCGCGTCGCGATACGAGTAGATCAAGAACAATAGAGTCGCAGGGTAGGCTGTGGTACTGTCTTGACAGCTAAGCACCCCTTTAGAGCTAGCCCCTGCTGTAGCATAAGCGGAAGTAGTCCCAGGAGGAAGATGGGAGCCTTCTAAGGGGCCTCCTGCGTCAGTGGGATCTACATTGCCTGCACCGGACCCCACGCAAGCTGTCTCTGCAGAGAGCGCAGAGGAGGACAAAAAGCTCTGCTTCTGCTTCTGGTTTGTAGGGAAGCGCTCCAGAATAGTCGCAAGCAAGTTGCCAAAGTTTTCCACTACATCAGTTTGCAAGACTGCTGGCGGAGACATCCCATGCAGCAGGACAAAGAGGTTTAGGATCCGACGCTCCGTGGAAGGAAGGCCTTTTGCACCGGAGCTGCGCCTGCTGTCAGTGGTTTGCTCGCCGTTGTTGCCCTTGGCATTGCTACCGCCGCTGGATTTATTGATGTCACAGCTACTCTTCGCGGTAGCAGTTTGCACACGTGACGCTAGGGCGCATCTCTGGTCGCACCTTTCTCTACATTCATCGTGCCACTGTTGACGATTGCTGTGTGTCCATTGAGCTACGGTCGTGGCGTAGAGGTAGCCAGTGTCTTCTGAAATCCAGACCACCCAGCCTCCCTTCTTTACACCCTCCCGCCTCAATCTTGCAGCCCTCCATTTGGCCCTCGAGTCCTCGCCCCGCAACCGTAAGTAAAGAGGAATGCAAATTGAGTCCGCTGAGCTGATGCCCAGGTCAAAACGCTGTCTATACACGGTCGCCCAGTGACCCTCGTATGCTTCTCGTTCTACTGCGCCAGTTGCCCCTGTACGGGCACTCCCTAAGCTGTATGGTACCCACCCCTCATAGAACCGCCTTTTTCTTCCAGGTGACGCTTTGAGCAGACGCGGGAAGCAAGTCGGCATAGTGCAAGCAGCTCCTGCTAGGGTTCTAAAGGTCTATGCTTTAAGGTTTGAGAAAAGGCTACGCAGTTGGTTTGTACACAGTGCAAGGTCTTGCAAATGCATGGGCACGAGCGATATGTCTCGCGTCTAGAGGAACCCATGAGTTTGCCCGTTTATCCTGCAGCTACACATAGTTGTCTCTAAGCCACAGGGTGTTGTGCCTGCCCAAGGTTCAGCAGTCGAGTCGAAGATTATGGCAGAGCCGTCGCCCCCCCATCAGAACTCGATGGGATAACAGACAGAACAATGAAGCTAAAAGTACATAATAGCTAATGCCAAAAGAAGCCATGGTGTGGGGATTACTAGAAAGCTGAATGTGCACCAGTAACAGAGGCAGCAGAGCCGTCCCACTGGTACTACGGAACTGGAAGCACACGATGAAGCTGTACGGCTCACATGCCTAGCAAGAATACATTAGCTTGTCAATAGTAAAGCTATTCAAGGATACACTAAATCAATGAGGACGAACTATGGCACTTCTGCCGTGAAATCATGTAGCTGGACTGTGGGCGGTCCAGGCGCCGCTGGAGGCTACGCAGGAACTAGGAGAAGTACTGCACACATCATAAAGCACTTCTATTTGTGACGCTTCTTTTAATAACTGCCAAGCTATTTGACGGACATTGGGTGGCCAGTGCTATCCGATCACTCATTCGCAATCCGCATAGCTCTACTAGGGAGGGAGCGAACCCTAACTGCCGGCTCGCCGATGTGTCAATACACATTGCGGTCTCCGCGTATGGCAGTGCGGTTTCTAAAATAGGAGGTTCTTTTGAAAGCTACTGGAGCAGAGACATGAAATAACTTTTTATTGAGTGTGTGCTCTGCAGCCTTGGGGCTCATAGGTTGTAACCATCGATTCTAGAGGTCTAGAGTTGAGGCCTTTGCTCTGCGTGGTTTCGAGGCACCATCTAAATCGCCGTTTCATGGTAAGAGCCTGGGTTTTCATGCTGCGGACTTTGGGTTTCGGTCACTGGAAACTCTGAATAATTTGTGTGCTTGCATCCCTCCTTTGGTTCTTCAACAGTGCAAACAGGGAGTCTGGGGACGTCGCCTCAGCTCTAAATATTTGCTCTGGTGTCATAATAACACTGCATACAATTATAAAACAAGTCCGTCAGTAAGCAGAAAGGGATAGGGAGAGCAGAAATTCGCCGGGTTGGGCATGCCCCAAACCTATGATGCCACAACAGCCAGGAGGGGAAGCAAGATGCAGCCGTTACACCGAGCTGCTCGGGTTTCAGCTTTAAGAGCTGTAGCTACACGGTTTAGCAGGTAGGAAAGTAGTGTGGATAGACAAGAATTGCCCAGGAAAAGAACGGAGGGACGGGGAAGGGGAAAGTGGTGGTGGAGGCGCCTGTGCACGATGGCCTCACTACCATGTATAGCTACGTGATAATCCAGAAAAACGCGACATAGACAGCCTAAGAAACAATCTTTAGGAATTAAGGAAATTAGAATAAACAGGAAAAATGGTGATCCGTCGCACACGATCTGATCGCCCTCCTCGTCAGGGGATTTTCCCTTTTATGCACGTACGCACCTAGCATGTGCAGCTGCATTTGTGCTTTGTGCGCTACTGAAGCCGCCTAGCCAGTGGGGCAGTGGAGAACGGTGCCCTGTTCGCCGCCTCATCCTACGACACAAGGCCCGGAAGCTGTTGGTAGGATGGCTCGCTGCATCAGCAGCGCAACACCGAAGTTTCTCGCCTAAGAGCTCTCTGTTTGCGAAAGCCGCGAGTCTGTGGAGATTCAGGACTTTCACTACTCCGTAGCCTAATTGAATATTTGGGAAAGGGGGCTTGCGTGGCACTAGTGTAAATTCCGTTCACCTACATAGCCATATACCCAAGGGCGCTCCAGTCCCAGAAGCTAGAACGTTGTCTTGTCTCTCTAATCACCAAACCTTCAACCATGCTGCCTACCAAGGGCTAAGGGCGTGCAACTTGCATTCATTTTAAGTTCCCCTTTCGCGGACTCGTCAGGCGTTGAAGTACCGGGAATTACTGCATCCCCCAATAGGCGATTTGCCGGATCAAAGAAGCGCAAATCACGTGGTCGCATGCGGCTTTTGAAATCGGAGCTTTTTTTCCCCGAAACAGGCCGTGGGCCGTGACAGCTGCGGGCCAGCAATCAAAACACAGGATGCGCCTTGGCTGTGGGGGCGGACGGAGAGCTGTGCTTACAGGAGCTGCTCTTTAAGGGCCTGCAAAGCGAGCATTTCATTTCTGAGGGTCTCAAGATTGATTGCTCTCAATTTAGAACAGGTGTTGCTGGACCCGCTGGTGCGGTTGCTGATTGGGGGTTGCGCGCTTATTTCGTTGTGCAGCTCTTTTCCCATTGAGCAGCAGACCCCAACGCATGTTTCCATGAGCTCCCTCCTCCTTTCTTCCCTCTCGCGAAGCTGTTCAGCCGTGTCCGCCTCGAGGGAGGCCCCTGTGGCTGCTGCTGCCGCCGTTCCTTCTGATGAAAAAGAGTAGCCGGGGGAAGTCACCCCTTCAGGGGCCCCCAAAGATCCCCCTGTGGCAGGGCTTGCGGAAGGGGGGGCCTTCAATGGGGGCAACAGCTCCTCCGTCAAGAGATGGAGCTCTTCGTCAACGCTGTCCAGCAGCCGACACAACTCTGAGGTGGCCTGTTTTGCAATGCGACTCGTCTCCATGATGAGCCGTCCAGGGGCACAGCCTCAGATTTCACCTGCGCAAAACTTGAAAAGGAGAAAAAATACATAACTTCTCAACGCCCGCCTGCGCACCGGCACGTGAGGGGGCCCCAGGCCGTTGGGGAGCAGGGGGTTCTTCCCAAGCCACACACACTCAACAGTCCCGCGCATTCTGGGGGCCCCCCCCAAGTCAATGATTCTTTGTTGTTCTAGTTGTTCTTTTTAGGATTTTATTTGGTCGCTTCCCTTCTGACGCATGCTTCTTCGGCGCGATGACAAGGTCTAAGCCGTAAGTTGAACCCCTTGGACTGTGGGGCAAGAGGGTCTCCTCGCGCGTGAACTTTCCTTGCAAGGGTCCGTGCTTATGGTCCGCGGCCTTCTGTATGGAACGAAGGCTTACCAACTTGCTGATTTAGAAGGACTACTTAGGCGATGAAGGCGAAGAAGGCGAAGAAGGCGAGTTCAGAAGGCTTGGGACAGGCCGAAGGGGCCCCCCGCGGACTGCCTCTCTGGCGCGCCGTGGACGTCGAGCCTGGTTTAGAGGCGGAAGGCTTTTTGGGGCTGGAAGAACTCGTTTATGAGGAGGAAGCAAAGCCACGCGGCGAAAAGAGGAAGAGGGATCGAAGTCAGCAACGGGGACAGGCGCAGACGGACTGCAGTCCACGCAGCAGCAGCACCCACCGAAAGAAGAAGAAGGCAAAGAACCCCCAGCAACAGCGGGGCACCGCTCAAGAGGAGATTGCGAAGCGTCGGCTGGAAGATTCAGCGGCAGCAAGCGGCCGCACTGCAAGTCGCAGGCAGCAGCAGCAGCATCGGAGGAAGGCAGCCGCAGCGCCAGCAGAGGATAGCGCAGCAGAAGCAGCGTCAGCAGAGCAATCCAAATCCAGCGGCCCCATTGATGCCTCACTGGATCTCCAGGGGGGAGCTGGAGGTCTCACTGCTGCAGAAGCAGCAGCTGCAGCAGCTGCAGCTGCATCGCCGGAAGCAGCAGCCGCAGCCGCAGCGGCAGCAGCGTTCGATTGCATGTACGATAGCTACGAGCTGGTGCCTCAGCTCGATGAGGGGCTAGATCTATGGAAGCCGCACTTGAACAATGATATTTGCATGGTACACCCTGCTGTCTCCAGGGTGCTGCTGCAGCAGCAGCTGGTGCGTCCGACGCCAGTGCAGCAGCAGGTTCTGCTGCAGGCACTCAGGGACAGGCGTGATGTTGTCGCGACAGCGCAAACAGGATCCGGAAAAACTCTTGCCTTCGCCCTACCCATAGTTAGCTCCTTGGCTACCCAGCTGGCTAGGCGTCTCGAGAAGTGGCAGGAGAGGCAGACGCGCAAGGAGGCAGAGGAGCAGCAGGAGCGAGCAACTGCGGAGGCTTTCTTAGAGCACCATGAGGGAGGTCCAGAGGCAGATCCTGCTGTGCGAGAGGAGCAAAGAAGGCAATTTCTGCTGCAGCAAGTGCAGCCGGAGGGTCCAGCTGCACTGGTGCTTGAACCGACTCGTGAGCTCGCTCTACAGGTGAGGGCTGGGGAATTGGAGGGGTAGGGACGCTGAGGTTTTTGCAACGTTTAATTTCATGCGCAAGCACGTTTTGTTTGATCCTATTGGTTGCATGTGTAGGGCGCACTGTTCGTGCTTCGCAGGTGTTGCACGTCCTGCAGCAGCTGTGTACATACACCCCAATCCGCGCTGCTGCGGTTGTGGGGGGGCTGTCGCCTGAGAAGCAACTGAGGGTTCTAGGAACCAGCAAGCCTCTGATTCTTGTTGCGACCCCCGGACGGTTGCTGGCGTTGCAGCGGGAGCAGCCCTTATCCGTTGCTGCCTCGGAAGCAGCATCCGAGGCGTTAGGAGTGGGAAAGGTAGACGATCAGGGAGAGGACGAAGAGGAGGAGAACGAAGATCCCCAGAACCAGGTGCATGAAGCGCAGATGCGGCGACAGCAGGGGCGGAGGGAAAGGCTTGCTGCCCAGGGGTTGTCTTTTTCCCAAAATTTTTCTATGCTGCAATTCCTCGTTTTGGATGAAGCGGATAGGTTACTGCAGCAGCAGCAGCAGAGAGGCAAGCAGAATAAGGAGAAGAAGAAGAAGAAGAAGAAACAAAACAGACCCTGGATTCCCCCGTCCACCGAGACCGAGGTGCTCCTACAGCTAGTGTATGCACAGCTGGATGCGGCGCCTCCCAAAGGGTGCAGCAGCAACACAAACAAAGGCAGCAGCGACAAGGAAATGGCTACAGGCAGCAACAGGAGCAAGCGCAAGAAGCAGCAGAAGCAGCCCAAGATGCCGAGACAGCTGAAGGGCAGGGCCGCAAGTCTTCAGACGTTTGTACTGTCAGCTACACTGGCACTTGCGCTGCAGCGGAAGCAACAGGGCCTGCAAGTAATAAGTGCAAGCAGCCAGGATGACGAAGACGGATCTGCAGCCGCTGCTGCCCTGTTGCAGCATGTACGAATCAGAGCCAAGATGCTGGTTGCAGTGAGAGTCTCCGAAGCAGAGCAGCAGCAGCATGTGTGGCGCCACCAGCTCCAGGAGCAGGAACCCCAGACGGAGGGGCAGAAAGAAAGTGCGGTAGAGCTGCAGCAACTCAACAGCAAGCTGCCGAGTACCCTGCGTCTGAGCGTCTGGAAGTGTCCAGTGGAATCTGAGATGGTGAGCCTCAGCAGCACACTTGCAGCCGCGTACTGGTTTTCAACGCAGGGAGAAGGGAAGCCGAGAAGCTGCCGCGCTGGCAGATGGATCTGCACAGGGCGAGAGACGAGCATGCAAAAGGCTCCACAGTGTAAAGAGTGCCTTCTTCCTGTGTGCTTGCGGCCATTTTCGCTGTCGTCGTTGTGTATGTTCCTGCGACAGGAAGTTCACCTGGCGGCTTACCTCCTGCGGGTTTTTGATCTAAAGGCGGGAGAGAAGCAGCCACTTCGAGTCGTTTTGTTCGTGAATGCCATTTCTTATGTCTACAGGCTCGAATCTCTCCTCACGTAAGCCATCATTTTTACTTGGCATGCATGCAGTCCGATTTCCCTCGACCCCCCTCTTCTTGAAACGGGGGCTTTTTCACCCTAAACGCGGGACATATGCCACCGAAATGCTTCCGGGGGTGCTGGTGCGTTACGGGCTGCTGTTTGTCTGGGCTGTCATTGTTGCAGTTTGCTGCTACAAGAGCAGCTGCAGCAGCGACATAAGGCGCAGATTGCGGTTTGCGGCCTCCACTCCAATCTTCAACAAAAACAAAGGTTGAAGCGGCTGGACAGGTAGGCTTTGCAGTTGCTATTGAAAATTGAAGGTCACCGCGTCTGGATCGCTGCCGTAGCTGTGCTGTTGCTGTACTTTGGGCTGCTGGAGGTGCGGCAGCACTACACGACATCTGCACCTCAGGTCCTCTTCCATGTGGTGCTACAACAGTTCATTATCTTCAGCTCTTGGATGTGTTGCCGTGGCTTTTTTCCTTTTCTCTCTCCCGTTGGTGACACTCCCCATCTCTTCTCTGTACTGTCACATGCAGGTTTCTTTCAAGCCGGTACGGGCTACTTGTGAGCACAGACGTGGCGGCCCGCGGTGTAGATTTCAAGGATGTGGAAAAGGTCCTTCATTTCCAAAGACCCCGGGATCAAGAAACCTTTATTCACAGATGCGGCCGGACTGCTCGAGCAGGCAAAGATGGTACTTATCCGCACTTCCTAACATTAAGGCCTTAACGGTGCATCCATGAACATTTGTGGCGAGTGGGACGCCCGCGAACATTGGAGGCCGAAGGCGTGCTTGAGCTAGCTGTTGTTAGGTACTGGTCAGTGCATGTGTCTAACGGAGATTTAAACAAGAAACGATCGTATCATATGCGCTTCATGTTAACCAAAAAGCCTTAACAAACCAGAGTTATCGGCCCCTGCTACGCGAGGAGCATAGGCACGGGTTTGTTTTAGGCCTTTTGTAGCTCAATCTGTACGACACATGTTTGTGACGCACGCTTTCCTCTGACCCTGGACATCTTTCGCACTGAATGATAGAGCCCATGTCTTTGGCCGTCTCTGCATACATATGGTTTTCTAAGCATATTTCGGGCGTGCAGGGGAGGCGGTCTGCTTTATCTCGAGCAGCGCATCTGGCGTCTGGGAGTGGCTCCTGGCATCGGCAGGCATCCAACTGTCGGCTGCACCACCGCCTCTGGGATTTAGGGATATTGCGGGACTGCAGGAGCGGATGGAAACAATTAGGCGGCTCTTCCAACTGGCGGATCAAGTAGAACGGGAAAACCATCAGGTAAGCCGTACGCCCCTATCATAGACTGTACGCTTCCAATGCCCCAGTAAACGGGATCTCTATCTTGTAGTTTAGCTTGAGGTGTGACGTGCACCGGCAGCCCTCAGTTGTAAACAACCAGAGCCTCATGAATCACATGCAATGGGTTAGCGAGCTTTCAAGTGTTTGTTCCCCCTTTTTGGGAGCCTCTGATTGGGCCGGCTGCGTCGGTGGAGGCGTGAAGGGCCGAAGTTTTCCGGATGGCATCTTCTCCCTATTTCTATTCTTTCCAAGGGCAGTGGGTTTATATGGGTTTTGACTTATTGCGAGGGCGTGCGGCTACTGCTGTTGTCGGGGCTGACAAGCCCTTCAGTAGGATAGGTACCTTCTTGGGAAGCAGTTTTGCTTGCCTGCTTGCCTGTGCGTGGGGCTTAGGAGCAAAAACAAAAGCGGAAAAGGGGCGTTATGCGGCGGCTGGCCCTCGCAGCAGATGTGGAACTGGAATCAGACGGGTCGGCAGCAGACGAAGCTTTGCAAGATTTGAGAATAAAGGGCCAGAGAAAAAATCAGCAGGCCAGGCAAAAGCTGAGGCAGGCAAGTGTTTTCACAGACTCTGCACAGGCTATTGAAGTGGACGTACAGAGCAGCCGCAGGGAGTGGCGGTGTATGTGGATTTCTCTCCCATTTTCGTGCAGCTCTTCCTCTGATGCGTGCGTGCCGCAGATCCTTGCCACATGTGTCCCCTGAGACAGCTTGCCATACACCTGGGGTTCCGTTTCTTCTCGCGATTAGGGTTTTTTTCGCGGTTATAGGTGTTACAAGAGAAACAGAAGGCGTGTAAAGGGCAGCAGAATCAGCTAAGGACCCTGTGCGTGTAATCCCACTAAGCTTTAGGTACAACGCATCTCCATGATAAAAGGGGAGCCCACTTAAAGCTCTCGAACATTTGTTCCCGATTTCCTGTTTAATAAACTAAGTCTTGTCATTCTACGCTCTTCCTCTACTCCCCAAATCCCTTCTAAGTGTAAACGACTGTGGCCATGGGCCTTGCACACAGTTCTCCCCATATGCCGCAAACCCTCGAGGAGAGCTATAGCTGCACTGGACCTGCAGCAGCAAGGACCTCGAAATTTTCTTTTTTACCTCTCTTGAGCTGTCTTTCGCTATTCCGTCGTACCACTGGAATTGCACTACACAGTCGGACATTGAACACATGACGGTTTTTTTGCGAAACCGAGGGGAATAACGCTCGTAGGGTATTGCCCTGGAAATTTCGATAGATGTTCCATGGACTGCAGACCATACTTCTCAAATGACCAGCAAGCGTCATCCTGGGGTATACCCCCTAGGCGCGTCCTGGAAAGCGAGAACGAGCTACCGGGCGACAGCAGCAGCACACCCCTCAGTGTTTCGCCCCTTTGATTCCGCTCATACATTCCTAGTATGAGTTCACTAAATAATTTCACAGAAGTCAAGCAGAGCGCAGGTGTTCCAAGGCTCGTTTTCAACTGCTGGGGCGGCGCATCCCCTATGGTAGTGTACTGACAGATGAGCAGCTTCAGCCGCAACAAAACACCAGCACAGCAGTGAAGTAGACAAACTCTCAATTGTTTTAGTGTTTAATACGGCGTCTTTTTTAATTTTATCCCACAATGCTTGACTGGGGCACCTTCTTGCTTACCTTCTTCGGCTCCCTTGTCTCGTTGTACCTCATCGGTGAGCCCTCCCGAACTCGCATTCACATCTCTGAACCTAAAACCCCAAACGCCAAAACATAAAGCATACGCCACCATATTTTTTTGCTTCTTACTCTGCTGCGTCCATTCGCTTCGGAGACGGGTGCGGCCCGCTGTTAGCAAAGTCTTGCAGATCTGTTAAAGAGGGGATTGGAGGGCGAATCGTTTTCATACCGTTGCCAACGGAAAGCTCCCCACCGTTCCACAGACATGCGGACCCCTGCTTTTGTGCTTAAACACGTAGTGAATCTTCTCAGCTGTGCCTTCATCTGTTCTATCCTTGCGGTCTTTCTCCAGTGTACGGGAGCTCGTGGCCCTGGAAAATGCCTGGCTGTTTTTGCTTCTGCCTTGCGTGTGGATCCTGCAGGCTCATACGCCCAGCAGCAGAATTAGTCTGACAAGGCGAAAGACTAGGGGGCTCTAAGAACAGAGAACGGCGAGGGAACGCTCCCTACGCGAGGGGCACGGTTGGCTGCCAACCACTCTGCGGTCTCAAAGGATGCGTCTTTTTTGCTGCAAAATGGATCCCATCGCAATGTTCTTGTTGGTGTGTGGGGGACTACTGGCATCTGTTGCCTTCTCCGGCTACATTATTGACCAATACAGAATGATGGATGCCAAGGAAGTCTATCTTGCATTTAGCAGAGCAAGCGCCTGAAGATCCCCCATGTATTATTGCTCGTGATGTAAATTGAAGAGCTAATGGGCCTTGAATGTCTATACTAAGGCATTGCGCCTCTTCTTTCTTGGATAAAATTTCTACTGCGCTCCCTGCCCCGTTGGGGGGGCCCCAAAGTACTCCGAAGGACATACAGCGCGGTCCGCTATCTCTTGCGCCTTGAGCTAAAGCCGCTTTAAGCACCCCGCTCGTTCGAATCTTGCAGCGCCCCCTGTTTGCGTGCTGAGCGTCATCAGTAGTATGCGCGCAAGTAGCAGCAACGGCGGAAGGTAGCTGCCTTTCCGAATTAGGATTGCATGTTTCTGCCCAAGGTTTGGGAGTTCCTGGTGCGATTGTCAGTGCGTGACTTCTTTTAAGCGCTGGTAGCCGTTTCCCAGGCCGCTCCCACCCCAAAGGCCTTCCAATCCCAAACCGACCGAACTGCTGCTGCGGCGACAGGAGCAGCAGGCTTTTAATTGGCTGTAGCTTCTCACGCGGTTAGACAGTTGGCATTGCGCCTGCAGCAGGTGTCAGGCCTAGCACCTTTCAAAAACAGATTATTGGAGTAGAAAGAAAGAATTCCAACACACCTACGCTCTGCTTTTCATCTAGTCATCTAAATGGGCCAGTAGCAAGGGGTCAGCGCGACAGTCCTGCAAAACGGCAGCAGCAACACCCATAGGAAGAGCAGGCTGCATCACAGCTGCACTCGAACCGTAGATGCAGAATTACGGTAGCATACAATGTACAAAACATCAGCCTCTGGCCTGTCTGCCATCCATCCTACCTCTGTGAGTTGCATCGACGTCGCATAATTGCGGCGCGGCCTATGGCGCACCCGCAAACACTCGCCGCTGCAGGGCTGAGAGCACTTGATCCGTTCGGCACAAGCATTGCAAACAGCCGCAGCTGCACTAGCTAGCTCGAGTGCAGCTGTGGCTGTCTGCGTGCACACTGTGCGGGCGCTACACGGGAAAACCGCGCAATCCTAGTCGCACCTCTTGGGATCTGTGAAGTCGAAAAGGCCGTCGTGTCTCTCGACGTACAGATATTTCCCTCCAGCGCCCTCTCCCGCGACAGAAACAGCCACGATATCGCCTGAAAAAAGAGCACTGGCACGCTGCAGGAGGCCTTTCAGACCGCAAGAGGGCAGTTCGGTAGGGGTAAAGCAGCACTGCCCCACTGCCCGCAACAACACTTCCCCTCCAAGAACGTCAGCAACATACCGAACTGCACATCTTGAAAGCGTTCAAGGGCCGCTGGCGAACAAACGATGCCAACAGCACTGGTATTGAGTTTCAGGATGATCTTCTCGGGCGAACGCACGACCACCATCCCTGCGAAGCGGGAAAGTTGCACTGCATGCACCCTTAGAAAGTGAAGTTTTGAGTAGGCGAGCAGTGGGCAGCTGCGTCTTCAAAACAACAACGCTCCAGCAGAAAATCTAGTGGGTTATGCACGGCATGCTTTTTGGCCTCACAAAGCGCGAACATACCTTCAAGAAGGGTTCCTTTCTTCGCCATGTCTCTATGGCACTTGAATGCTTCGTTGAGGTGTCTGTACAGCACGTATTCTTGGCTCGCCGCTATAACCTCCTCCGGGCCTAAAATCCACAAACTCAGAATCGCTCGCGAGTTTTTGCCTCCTCAGGAGGGAAGGGTTTACGGTGTGAGAGCACTACCATAGCGCCTTGATCCGCATGACCCTCTTGTCTGCACATGCGTGTCTCAGGGCAGCCAGCAACTTGCGACTTGGACTGCGCAAGCTTTCGAAAGGATGCAGCACTTACGAATGTGCAAAGACATGGCCATGGCGAGCCTGGGGAGGTAGCGAACTCCCAGAGCGGCATATCTCAGGAGAGGCGCTGACAGAGGCCGCTTAGCAAAGGCAGCCAAATCCGCATCCAAGAGCTCACGGCCAGCCTCTAAACCCTTTATGCTGCATGAAGAGCGCACCTCACACTCCCCGCGTCGGCATAGGCAGGATCAAGGAAAAAAATCGAGTGCGTAGCACGCGAGCATGCAGGTGTACTAAGTAGGATGCCTAAAGGCTGCTGAATTTTTGATTGGCATCTCAGCTCACGTGATCCCGAGATATGCCTCCACCAGCTCCTTCAAAGACGCTTGATAGAGAGCTTCGCCTCTCTTTGCACAAATGAGCTGGTGCGCTACCTGAAACGCAAATAACCAGTGCGCGCGTCTTCTGGGAAGCCGCAACGGTGCATGCATGCACATAGAGACGCTGCAAATCGGACGCTGGTGGGAAAATCGGGGAGCTCGGTTCGTACTTGCGTGTCAAACACGAAATCTAGCCGGATGTCGTGCTGATGGAAGAGAGCTGCAGAATCTTCACGACAGTCGTGAAAAATCTGCGCATAATACAGTCCCAAAGCGGCCGTTCTGCGTGTTGTTGATGACGCGGCGCATGCCTGGGGTAGCCCCCCTCTATGTGCACTGCTTGCGCAGGCATTCTGCAAGCCTCGTGCCGTTGCGGCTGGGAGTTGAATGAGCATCAGCAGGAGCGCAAGTGCTTACTTTGAGTATGCTGTCGCCTTCCAGAATCTGCCTAACGGAGGGGGAGAGAGAGCTCTCTTTGAGAGCATCAATCAGCAAGAGGGGATCGAGGGGCGGTCCCCCATGAGGTCCTCCCATCTGAACGATGCACAGGCGACCAAAACGGCCAAGCAGCACTCCCTCTGTATCGCAGCCAATCAGCAGGGGAGGATCGGCAGCATCGGCTGTTTGTGCCGTTGGTGGTTCTGCGAACTCTGGGGTTGCGCCCGTCAGCCTAGGAGGCGCGCTCTTGCTGCCGCTCTCATGATCGGCAGTCACAGGGACGCATGCGCTGTCGGCTGCAGCGGCTGGACCCCGTAGCAGCTCTTCGTGCTTTCTTTGAAAATGCCTGCAGGCGAGGAAGCTCGCAAGGGGAGAGGCGGCCAGCAGGGGCGAGCAGCCACACAGAGCCGCAGCAGCCGCCTCGCCTTCTGCCGACGTGGAAACGACGAACACTGGTGCTGCGTTGTTGCTGGGACTGCCAAGCGCTCTCGTGGAGGTAGCGCTACCCCCACTGCCACGACGGCTGATGCTGAGTGCAGCCTCAGGGGGCCGCCTCGGTGCTCGCTTCTGTCCGCCTTCCGAGCATTGAAAGCAGCGTAGTTGCTGCTGAAACTGTGGATGCGAAAGCAGGCGTTGGTGCGGAAGGAGGGGCTGCCGCTTGCGCAGCTGCTGAGCTGCTCGGCAGCGACACTGCAGGCGCAGCATCCCGGGTAAGGGGCCCCCAGGGGGGAGGTATGGTCTTCCCTCGTCAGCTGCTCAAGACATGAATCTAGCTGCGCAAAAATTCAATAGAAGGAGGGCGCTCGGTTCTCCGGAGGCCGCATGCTGGCGCTACCTCGCCTTCCCACACTGCAGTGACACAGGCTGCTGCTGCGCAGGGGCGCCTCTTCTCTCCATATATCATTGAAATGGGCAATAATTCACACCCACAGAGCCTCACATTGCTCTTTTAACTAAAAAATAAGGGGCGTTGCAGTAGTGCTAACAACAGCAACCGCCCGGCAGGGGGCCCCACAAGGCCCCGATCCTTGCGCGGAGGGCGGCACTCCCGACTTGAATTCATGGAAGGAGCAGTTCATTTTATGGCTACAAATAAGCGGCACGAGCTATTTGAGCATCCCCTATAGGCCTTTTTTCATGCCGTATAATTTTCCTTGCGACATCAGCATCTATCTAGGTGGAAAGAACACGCGCGACTGCGTGTGCCTTTGTGAACCGCTGAGGCGAGATCTTCTGGCCGCCCTGCATACCGGCGCCACAGCACGCACACTCAGAGTGTCAGCAGCGGCATTAGAGCTTCAGCAGCGGTAGCAGAGCGTTAGCAGCGGGAGAAGCAAGGGGGAAGTGCATACGATGGGGCAAGGGGAAAAGAGGCCAAGGCTGTCGGACGACCCTCCCTCTGCAGCCAACGCAACGGCAGCTGGCAGCAGCCGCGAAGAGGGAGCGGGAGAACAACTGCCTGCTCATGATGATCCCCTTGTTCAGCAGGAGCAACAGCAGCAACAGCAGCAGCAGCAGGGAGGACCTGCAACGTTCAAGTCCTTAGGTTTGTGCCGTGAGATATGTGCCGCAGCAGCCGCAGCCAAGTGGGCGACTCCGACAGCCGTGCAGCAGCAGGTGATACCGCTGGCGCTGCAGCAGTTGCATCGGTTGCGCGGAGCAGACGCTGTGCAGCACAGAGACATAATTGCACTTGCTGCAACGGGCAGCGGCAAGACGGGTGCGTTCGTGCTGCCCCTGCTGCATGAGCTGTTGCAGCAAAGCAGCAGCAGCAGGAGCCGGAGTCTCACCAGCAGCAGCAGCGCATTCGCTGTGATCCTGGCACCAACCCGCGAGCTCGCCTTGCAAGTCTTCGACTGGGTGCAGTCTTTAGCTGCCGCAGCGGCTGCCGCGGAGAGTACAGCTGCGGCCGTCGCTGCTGCTGCAGCTGCCATTCGTGGCTGCTGCTGCGCGCTGGTCGGGGGGGTGGATTTCTCGTTGCAGGCCTTGTCTCTCGCAAAAAAGCCCCAAATCCTCGTGTGTACCCCCGGGAGGCTTATCGATCACCTCCACAGGACGAAGGGTTTCTCCGTCAAGGGATGCAGGTAGGCAGTAGCAGCAGCAACAGTGCAGAGCAGTGCAGTACAGTACAAAAAGGTAGGTGGGTAGGTAGGTATGTGGGTAGGCAGGAGGTTCCGTGGGTACATTGGTGGGTAGGTAGCTCCGCACAGAAGGGTTTGCATTTGGCCCTCAGACGAACGCCATGTGACTGCATGCGTGACTGCATGCGCGCGGTATACTGGGGGTGGCCGTAGGTATATCGTGATGGACGAGGCGGATAAGCTGCTGTGTCCAGAGTACGCTGAAGAAATCTCTAGACTGCTGGCTGCAGCTCCGAAAGAAAAGGTTGTGCTTCTTTTTTCGGCGACCATGACCTCGAGTGTCTGCAAGCTGAATAAGGCGTGCTTGGTGAAGCCTATCAAGGTGCTGCCCACTCCTAGGCGCTTCGAGACTACACCCCGATACCTCTAAACACCGCACCAAAGGCCCTATGAGGCTTCCCTGAGGCGTGCTGTTGCACCGCGAGCGACAAAGGGAGAACAATCTCTCCCTCTTTAGTTCCTCTAGAAAGACATGCTGTAAAGGGTCGGGTGTGCCAATGGCGTGCGCATACGGGCGGGGCGTCTATTCGCACAGGTTTCGGTAGACAAGAAGACAGCCACAGCGCCAGTCTTGCTGCAGCAATTTTTGCTGCTTCCCCTGAAGCACAAGTGGACGTATGCTGCAGCGTTGCTGCAGCAACATCGGAGCTTCAACAGCATCATGATCTTTACGAATACGTGCCTTGCCGCCAGGAAGCTTGCCACTTACTTGAGGCACATGGCTTTCGACGCAGTCAGCCTACACTGCAGCGACTTGTTGGATGTTTTCGCTGCTGATGTGCCTCCACAGGCTGTAGACGCCTGTCTTTGATAGGCTGCCAGTGTAGAGAGAGGATGCGCCGCTCACCAGGGTGGCCGTGCTACGGCCGCTGGTTGCTTTTGACTGAACCTCCACCGATGCTCCTGTGTCGCCTATGTTCTTCGGCTTCGGCAAAAGCTAGAAGTTTTGCTGCTGTATCCCGTTGTCTGTGCAGGTGTGCCTTCATGGGCAGATGACGCAGCCTCAACGCATCGGCGCCCTTGCCAAATTCCGTGCTGGTACTGTTTCTTAGTAGCTGTTAATGTTTTTTTAGTGCCGCGATTGTCAAATCCCCGGCTCCAAGTCTTCGCCTATGGAGCTTTCGCGGATGTAGCTTCCTACGTGTCAATACACTCGCGTGCTGCCGTCGTTGGGCCTTTCAAAGGAGACGCTTTGCTTGCTTTGGGCGTGTAATATCACCGTGTGTGGTGGCTGTTGTCTGCCTGGGGCAGTGCCCCTTTTGCAGAAGAGAACCAGAAAGCACCGCAGCTTTTCCTGCTTTGTGTTTGCTCAGGCGAAGTGCGCATTCTGGTGACAACGGAGGTTGGAAGCCGCGGTCTCGATATTTCTCAAGTCGAGTTTGTGCTTAATTTTGATGTGCCACTCTCATCAAAGGACTACATCCACAGGCATGCCCCTCCGCGTCTTCCCATTGAAATAGCGGATGCTGCGCTGCCCCCTTTTGGTGCTGCTAATGAAGTGTAGAGGCAAGACCTGTGCTTCTTTTGCTTCTTGCAGTACTGTCTCACTAAGCTCCTGCTGCAGTTCTTTCTGCTCCTGTCGTTTCGCTGCAGGGTCGGGAGGACGGCACGCGCGGGGAGAAGCGGCAGAGCTCTCACATTCGTTACACAGTACGACATTTGCGGAATGGAGCTCTATCGCTACACTTCTGTTGCGACAGCAACCAACTTTGCATTGTAGAAATGCCGAGAGTGTGTCTACATGCTTCTTAATGGTGTTTGTGCCATAGATATGACGTGGAGGCATACCAGCGCATAGAGTTTGCTCTTGAGAAGAAGCTGGAAGAATATGCGGTCCGTGTCTCACCTGGCGTGTTTTGTAAAAGCGCCTCTGCTGCTGCGCAGTTATCGAGCCGCCCCACTTTGCCCTTTTTCACCCTTCTTGCGGTATTGATGTTCTCTCTGCATTATCACCCGGTGGTGCTCTGGAGTCCTCTTTGGACGCTGCTCTGCCCTTTCCCCTTGCCGCCTTATGGATGTTTTCTTGCGCCCGCCACACTACTCCCCATATTTCTTCCCGCTCCTCCAATTGCGCCCGCTTTCTCTCTTTTTCTCTTCCCCTCTGCCTGTTGGTGCATCCGTAGCCGCGTCGGTGCCTTTCCCGCGGGTTGCCTGCAGGACCTACCCGAAGAAAAGGCCCTTGCCTTTCACGAACGGGCACTTGAGGCGCTCCGGTAAGCGAGCCTGTATCAGCCGTTCGCGTTTGCCGTATTTTCCCTTCTCTCTCTCTCTCACTCTCTCTCCCTCCCTCTCTCCCTGTCTGTCTCTCTCTCTTCCTCTCTGTATTCTTTGCGTACATCGCTCGCTTCTGTTCGTGGCTACACGCACGTGTATGATCTCCGACATCCTGGGGTTGTTCTGGCCTACTTCATCGCCTCTCTCGCTCTCTGTGTTGGTGCTGCCTTTTCTTCTTACATGGGTTTTCTGTGTATTCAATTTGTATGCCTGCGGCCCTTTCGTCCGTGCTCTGCTGTAGAAGCCCCTCTGTGTATCCGTCATTTTTTGGCTCTCTTTGCAGGGAAACCGAGTTGGAGCTTCATGAGGCCCAAGAGGCCAGATCCAACAAAAAACGAAAGCACAATCAAACCAACCGAAAGCGTAAAGCTTAAAGAGAACACTTAAGCCACTGTGTTAGCCAAGCTGAATGCAAGAGAATCAGTATCCAACAGTTCGTTCCGCATCCAGATGCACATGGACTCAAAAGCAAGCGGTTCGACGTTTTGTGGCAGTACAGCCTCTGCAGTGGCGTTTTAGAGCGCCCGCTATCGCACTTCGGTTTTAAAACTGTGGAGGCGCGCGTTCTGGCTACGGGGCGTATGCTACGACATCTAGCTTTTTTGCTGCTTAGTGCCTAGTCCTTCGTTCGTTTTGGAAGATTATCATCTTCAATTTGTGTAGTGTAGAGTCGACCTCCGATAAGCGGTTCTCTAGTTCGCAACGCTTCTGCCTGTCCCGCGCGTGGCGCCCTGAAGAGGAGGAGGCACACACAAAGACACAGGTTTCAATGTTGAGAGGGCAGAGATAGAAGGTAGGAGACTCACAAGTGGAAGAGCCCGATGCGTGGAGAAAGCGCGAGACATTTACTGGAGGGGCGTAGGAATAGAAGAGCGACAGATCTGGTGGCCGATGGGTGTAATACACGCATGCTTTCTATACCATTTGTCGCGGGGTACTTTGCGGCTTCTGCCTCGATCCTCTGTTTCTCTGCCGTCAAAAGGAGCACCTGCTTCTCTATCGATTTCATTTGCTCAGCAGAGTCCGCCCCTTCAGTTAAGAGAACTGGAGGAAGAGGAGTTGGAAGCGCCCCTTTTGTGGGGGTCCAAGAGGCCCCCCCTCTTGTCGCTGCTGCCGAGGCCACAATTAAGCGGCTGGGATCGTGCGCATGCTCCAGAGCAGACGTCGACGCAGGGGCACAAGGGGGAGGACAGGTGCTCCTCTGCGTGGGGTTGTTTAGCGCCGTATCTTGTCTGTATCTCGCTAATTCAGAATGCACTGGTGGGTTCACGGAGGAGCCTCTAAAATTATTCAAGTTCCCGAACTGCGACGGGACTATTGCTGGGTCAGATAGGCAGTTGGCCTGCTCAACACAGACGCAAAGAACAGCACTCAAGCTGAGCTACAGCACCGGGACGTAGACGACAGCGGGGAGACCGATCAAGAGCGCAATGACAGCTTGCAGGCACCTGGTTCACCTTTGTACGGCACTGTCAGAGCTAGGGGGAAACGAAAAAGAGCAGGATAGTTGGCAAAAACGCCATGCAAGAGGGAGGGCTGCTCTCAAGGGAAGTGAAAAAGCAGAGAGCACGGCAGCCGCATAGCCACCCAAAACTTACATAAGTGTATTTACATGGGCTTGATTGCTGCTGGCCGAAAATCCCGGGAAGAGGATTATCTGGACTTGTCTTGGTGCTGCAGACGTCCCTAGCTCCCACCACACTGCTGAGGCCTCCTGGGATTGCTGTCGAGCGCAGAGTGCACAAATGAAAAACAGAAAGTCCAACATTGCGGCATGAGAAAAAATCAGAGCCAAGACGGCACTAAAGACATAAGACAGGATACGTGAATAGAGTGGAAGAGGACAGCGCGGAAAGCGAGTGGCCATACGCAAAGCAGGCTTCAAAATAGATGCTAAATAGGCAGCCCATGACCAACCCAATACAGATATGCAGTGCCACGGTTCATGTAAAACTGCTTACGCCCGAAACGCTTACATCGATCCTGAGATGCGCTGAGGAGTCTCTGTACATCTCTCCGTAGGGAATGATTTTCCCTCTGAAGGGTGAGGATCTCATTTTGTAGAGACCGCGTCTCACCCTGCGAGACTGCGGTTTGCTCTCTGAGGACGCAATTACGGTGTGCATACACCACACACACATTGTGGTATTTTCTGCGGTGGAAAAAGATAACTGGTCAGGCGTATGATGCAATGGCTGCATGGGGGTCTAACGGAGACATCAACGCAAGAAAAGCTCTAGTGCAAACAGCTGCGCGGGCCAGCAAGTCTAACAACCCCTCCGCGCTTCGTGTTTGAAGAGGGCCCCCAAGAAAAAGGGGACAAAGCCTGCTCACCCGCGCTTCTGTGCTTCAGCCAACAAAGTTGCGTTCTCGTCTCTCAGGCGATGTGTCTCGAGTCTGCAGGTGACAACAGCAACGTCCTCCTAAGCACGCGTTCTCTTTTCAAAAGAATCCTGCTCTCGATGTTATTAGCAGCACGATGCTTCTACGTCATAAATGCAGAGAAACAGGCCAGCGGCGTCCCAGAAGCCCAAAAGGTGCGAGATAGGCGAATCCAAAACGAACAGCACTAGCAGATTCCAGAGGGAAGAACAGAGTAGCGCGCAAGTACAAACCAGCTGAAGAAGGAAATGTGCCAGTTCAACAGATATAGAGGCACAAAGATGCGTCGAGTGAGCCGCGAAGATAAAGAAAGAGGGAGGACAAGGGGGCGAGTGAGGGCCAAGGAGAGAATGACAAGCAGAAAAGAGGCATCAAGTGGCGCGTACTTCAAATTCTCAACCTCAGACTTCAGAGTGGTGTAAAGCCATTCGAAGCGCTCCAGATGTTGCACCCTCTGCAAAACCCATACAGCATAGTTGCGAAAGCCTTTAAGGGACAGAAAAATTGAAAAAGCGTATGCTCAAAGTAAAGCCAGCACAGAGGAACATTCATGCCTCCTACAGAAAACTACGAATGTCTCGCAAAGCTCTTATGATCGACGAATACAACTTGACCAATTAGGAGCCAGGGTTTCAGCACAAACCATGCGGAGTGCACTCGTCACATCGGCGTTCTTCCTTTGTTGCACATGTAGCTCTTCATTCAGGTCTTCAATCTTTCTGTCCTTCGCCAGCCTATGTCAAGGAGAACAACAAAGGCGCGCAAGAACAACCACAAGTATTTCGGCCCTAAATAAAAGGTGCAGGTCAAAGGAGGCATATGTCGAAAATATGGAAGTAAACGGCGTGCCCAGGTTCAGCGGCCTAACTAATCACCAGAAGCACAATTCTAGACACCTAGCCGTGTCTGTGCGTATATGTCAATGTGTGTGTGTGCGTGCGTCTACATCACTTTATGCCTCATTTTCTTTCACCGCCAGGATTCCGTTTCTGCTAGTTCCTTACTGGTCCTTTTCCTCTCCCAATTGTTCCTTGATGCTCAATTCCAGCCTTTGGACCGATCGCTTGAGAGCTTCGTTCTCCAGCAGCAGCTGTGCATTTTGATTACTGATGATTTGCGACTGTCCGTGAACCCTTTCACAATCTGCAGTTGCCATTTGCGCCTGCCGCTCTGCATTCGCTCTAGAGTGTTCTAAAGCTTCCAGCTCTCTCTCCAGGCCCTGTCGCTTTTTTGAATAAGACGCAGACACTTGCTGTTCATGCTGCAGCTGCTCCTGAACCTTTTCTAAATGGCCACTGCTAATCTCTAGGCGACGACGGAGATCCTCTTCATTGTTTCTCAATTCGAAACACTGACGCTCCAAGCTCGCCACTTGAGAAGAAAGAAAGGCGTTTTCATCCTTCAGCTGCTGTAGCTTTGAATCGCTGTTCTGCATGCAGGACACAAGAGTCAAGCTGAGCAATCGGGTGCTTAGCAAACCGAACTCCTTTTAAGTGCTCCAAGCTACAGCTAGATCCTATATTCTACAGCTCCTTTCACCCCCTAAATGTTCTGACGCCTCTTTTTATGCTTTATTGCCGCTGCATCGATGATGTTCTCCCTGGTGGCTTCCACTGTGCCATGTAAGGGGATACTCCTCCTTCTGTGTGGGCGGTGAATTTTCCCGACCTGTGTTTCTCTCTGCAACAGCTCTATCTCCGTCTCCGCATGCTTTTGCTTGAGTGCCTCTGTATCGAGCTGTTCTTGCAGCTCTTTCGTTTTCTGGTGTAGCCGCCAATTGCTCTCGGTCGCCTCCTTCAGCTGCGCGTGTGTGTTCTGCTGCTGAAACTGCTGCTGCAACAACGCCTCCTGCTGCTGCAGCTCGTAGATCAGGCGACGGCCAAATTCCTGTGTGACCTGAGCATGGAAGCCGAGAATCCGTCAAAAGAGCATAATTCCTGGTCTTTAGAAGAAGGAAAACACACAAGATGGAAGTACTGGGGGTCAATTTTTGGCTCTATCGAGCAAGAATAAGAAATGCAGGAGGGCCAGTAAATGCTGCCACATGCGCTACTCTGGAATGGGAGTCCATGGAAAAGAAGCACTCAAAACAAGCTATTACGGATGCCGTGAAACAGACGCCATGTGGCGCAAAGACTCAGGGCGGAAGGCACAGGCAGGTTGGTCGCTTTACAAGCACAGAAGGTAGCGAGCGAGCTCATCTACACAGCGGGCCAGTTCAAGAATGCCTGCTTGCGTGAAGACGAAAGTCAAATGGTCATTACTTTTTCGATTTCTTGGGCCACAACTGTCTCGGTGTGCCTTTGGTGCTGTAGACGGAGGCGCCTCTCCCTCTCCCCCCACTCTTCCTCTAAGCGCCGCTGCATCTCGGCTGCAGAGTGCGGGGGAGGGAACGATACGGAGCCTTTATAACCATTCTGCTGCTGGAAAGAAGGAGTATAATAGCTATTACGTGGGGCGAAGCTACCTTGGTTTGCGGCCGCTAGCCCATGGTACGGTCCTTCTTTGCTGCCTCTCCCCTCCCGAGTGTTTCTTGGGCTGTTCCCTTCTGACTTCTCTTCCTCCTCGTTAGACGAGACAGACGAAAAACTAGCATCATCCTCTAGCATCACCCGGCATCGCATGGAATCGTCCTTCTCTAGCCGCGCAGCGGACGCAGCGGCAGCAAGCCCCCCAGCAGCAAGCGTCTCGTCCACAAGCGACGACACTTTCACTGTCCCCGAGTACCGGCGAGCAGTCTCGCGCTCTTCTCCCTCATCGTCTGATTCTTCCGAGCTCTGGATCTGCTTCGAGGTGGTGTTCAGCCTGCCGTTCGCCCCACCAAGAGAGGGTCGGGAAGCCTCCAATCGTCGCCTGGCAGCCCCGCGGGGACTCGACGGACTATGGGAGTTTCGAGGCCTCCTGGGGAGGCTGGCCACAGGAGTGGAGAGGCCTGAGTCTTTAGTTCGACCTGCTTGAAGGGAGACACACAGCGAACACCGCACAGCTGTCTTTTCAAGCCGTCGCATCTACAGCCCGTCCGGCTTTTCTGCGTAACCCGACTATTCGTTCCCAGAAAAGCGCTAAGCCGCCGTCCCCGCACGCCCTCGGAAGCACCTTGCCACTAACTCTGTGCTCTATTGATGCTTCTCTCAGGGGTCTTGCGACGCTGGGTCTTTGACGCTAGCCCTGTGGCCTTTTGCCTGGATATCTGAAACAAAAGGCAGCCAGTGCAGTATCAGTTGCAGGCAAATACACACAGACCGCCACTGCTTCGCTTGTGCTGCGCGCGTGACCTCATTTTATCTCTGTGTCAGTTTCCTGCCCGTCTGTGCTCCACAGCGCGGCCGTCCATTCTATGCCCTCCTCTCTAAAGCTTATTCGATGCATGCATTACTTCTTCGGACGGGCTTGAGCCAGCATCTCGCCTGGCCGACGAAGGGGAGTGGAAGCGCTGCGCGGCTTCCCCCGATGTTTCACCGCTCGTTTTGCCTTTTTTTACTTCTTTCGTTTTGGCAGGATACTTCCCCGGAATGCTGCAAAAGCGCATCGATGCAACGCCCCAGCACACATATGTGGCGCATTGGAAACAGCGCGCTGGAAAGACAAATATAGGGGAGGGAAAAATGTGTCTAGGGCGTGCATGCTTACTTGTCATGCGTGGGCAGCTCCCTCGGATCATAGAGGAGATCAACATCCTTCTTTAACACTAAGAATAGTACATAATGGCACAATCACACGAAGTCTGTCTCGGTTTGTAAATCCTGGATCTCCGAAGGAGACAATCCGAGCCTAATAATTACTTTCCTGGACTCTTATCCAGAGTGCGGGAAGGTAAGAGGCAGTGGCAAACAGAACCACAAGCAAGACCACAAACAGAGAAGGAAAAGGGCGGAAAAATAGCGGAAAGGTAGAGAAGGGTAGTGTACAAACAGGCTTTTTCAGGCAGGATCCCGTATACAGAAGGCGCATCCTGAAGTAGGACTGAGACGAGGCCCTCTTGCAGTTTTCCTGCTTGCAAAAAACAGTGACCTGTGCTGTAGCTGGACGCAAAAGTTATTGCTCACTTCGGAGAGCTCTTGATAATCTATCCAAGCCCCCATCGTCGTGAGGGGAAGGCATTTTCCGCAGTTCTCTCTAACAAGCTGTGGGTTCATACAAAAGCGGTGCACGCACACTCAAAAGGCTGGCTCAGTGGGTAGTTCGCATATCAGTAGCCCCGCCATGAAATGATAATATGCATGCAGGTCTAGGTGCATCCCAACGGCCACCTTTATGCTAGGCGCAGCTCTCAGCCTGTAAGTATTCAAATCGATCCTTGCTTCCCCTGTGGGCTCCTCCTTCTTTCGTGTACCTTCCCTCTACTACGTCACCAGATGCGCAACTGGTCCCTGGAGGGGTATGCAACCCGCGAAAAAAAGCACAGTAGAGACCTCTCTTCTACGGTTTTGTTTGACTTCAAGTGGTCACACGCCCTAACTAAATCTTGTCTTTAAAAGTGACATAGGATCTGACAATGCTGGGGAGTATTCTAGGTGCTGCCCATGCTCTCACAGCCTAACTCACCTACTCTCACTGCCCATGCAATTCAAAAAGCTCAGCAAAACAGCATACCTTTGTTATATGCGCCAAAAGATTTAGTCGCTGTGTGCAACTTCCATAGTGACCGTTGCAGCTCGGGTAAGTTTGCACAGAGGCGTATGGACGCCCGAATTAAACCCTAGAGCCCTTTCCTCTGTGCAACTGGGGATCACAACTTTGTTTTTTCTCGGCGAAGAGTCCTTGACAAACTCGGATTTCTTCAATGATACTACGGAAAGAGAAGAAGGCCCTGTGCCACATCAGGCCGCTGTGCTGTCTGTCTCTGGCGCCTGAATTTCCTGTCGAGCAGCTATTGCTGACTGCCGCTAAAGAGATCATTCAGTGTAAAATTTCACGAGAGAAATCTGGGAAAGAGACGGGAAAATGGGGCTGGGAACAGAGAAGCCCCTGTGTCAATGCCTCCCTCGTCGCCGATTTCGTCCTGCTGTAACCGCCAAATGCAGCGCAAGAAAGCATCTGCGCTATTCCTCGATTAATCAGTTAACATTCATCAGGTACAGCTGAAATAGGGAAAACTCGGAATATGAGCATGCGTGTATTTGCTTTAATTCCTCATTTGGCTAGTGTATACGCTACGCAATCTGTGCAGCCGCTGCTGATTACCAGCAGCTCTCTGCCTCGCTCCCTCAACTTGACATTGCCAAAGAGTCTTGTCCTGCTCCAATAAATTAAAATTTGTGTTAAATATATTTACGCTGAGCTTACTCAGGTAATCAAAGGATGATCGTTATATATATATGAAGTGTGCGGCCAGCTAGCTCCCCTGAGTGAAGTAGCAGCTCCGCAGCCTCTTTTGACCTGTACCTCTGCGCTACTTGCTGTCCTCGTCTTATTAAACTCCTCTTTTTATGATATTCACTGTAGTTCTCACTCTGACTCTTTTTCTCGGGCTTAACATAAAATGGACTGTGTGGAGGTACAACCGCACGTAAGCCTACGCGAAGTAAGGACACGACAAGTCACAGGGACGAGATGCCAGACAAGTCCAAAACGCCTTAGTCTCCCCATAGTACTTTTTGTTTATTATTGTTCAACGGCATGAATATTGAATCAATTACCACATCTTTGTTCCGTCATTCCCACCATCTAACTTAGTTATCGATGCCCTACCACAGCCCCGAATGCCGTTGTGTAATTTCCTCCCTGTCGCATACCAATACGGGTACATGGAATGCTAGAAGGGTATTCCAGTCATCGGTAAAAGCATAGGCAGTATCAAGGAAAGATAGACACGATAGTTTGGTCGCTCACGTGGCTCCCTGATACTCTTCTCTTCATAAATCGTGTTCGTGCTTGTAAGTGCGTATGAATGTCTATCCATCACAGTAGAAGCGTGCGCCGTTAGGCATGTTTATGATTAATTTTTTACGTGCATCATTAAATCCCTTGAAAATTTCTCGTGTGCCTCTTTTTTCCTTGTCCTCTCACGGTATCACCCAATCTACGTATGCTTGCGCACTCTTCATTCTCAGGGGCAGGTCCAGCCAGTAGTGCTGACAGTGGGAGATCCCAAACGTGTTGATGCTGTCTTAGAGCTGTGCGACTCGTATGAACATCTGTCATACAACAGAGAATACAAATCTGCGACGGCAGAAATCGACGGAGAAAAGATTACAGTCATCTCCCACGGTGTAGGGGCAGCAGGCGCCATGATCTGTTTTGAGGAACTCATTAAACTAGGGGCCAAAGTTATCATAAGAGCTGGCACTTGCGGCAGTCTGAAACCAGACAAAATCAAGACAGGAGATATTTTTGTACCCTACGCTATGGCGAGGGACCCCGACGCGACCGAGCTGTATGCATCAAAACGGCTACCAGCCGTATCTTCTCCCCGTATTTATCAGGCGCTGTTGCGGTCAGCAGCATCCCTGGAGATTAAAGTGTTGACAGGAATTGGTTTATCCAGTGGCTTGTTCTACGGAAGGACGACCGAGCATCTAAACCATCTCAGAAGATGGGGGGAGCTGACGGATGTTGTAGAGTGCGAACTGCAGGCGCTCTTCCTGGTGGGATTGGCTAGAGGGATTGAAACTGGAGGCATCATTACGGTTGATGGCTCGCCTTTAGAGTGGGATAAAGTGAGGCTTGCCAAATCTGCTTACACGCATCTTTTTCTCTAGTTGATTTGCCTATATGATTTATGTTGTCACACGGGGATAGTATGTGTTTATCACACTGTGTAAATGTACAAAACTGTAGAAGATCAGTACTATTCGCTGGAATTTACTCCTTTGCTCATCCTCCAATCATTCATGTTTATTTTTGCCTATTTACCTTGAGAATTCGTAAAGAAAGTCACTTTGTCACTGTACCGTTACTGTGCGGTCTTCCTATCTGTAAGGCCATGGTCTGTTGCTGTCGTCTTGGGCTGTTACTAGCTTTGTGTGTGACTGTCGCCGCAATCGGTCCATCATCATCCGTTGCTACTTTATTTGTTTGTGAGTTGTTGAAGCAGAAAAACTATGGACCAGCCAGCGCCGCCTGTCGTAGAGGAAACCAAACCGCGTTGCAGATTGCACGAGACACCTGCAGGCAACTACGAAAAGAGTTTTAATAATGAATACACGGACTCCACAAATCGAAGCCAAACGAGAAGAGGACAGTGGGGAAGAAACTGAGAACATAGCTGCAAAAGGATGAGAAAAGACGTCAATAAGACGAGGATAAGGGTACAACCCCAACATATACCTTTCTTGGTTTGCCCTATGTAGATATCTTATTGCATGTAGATACAAATTACCCAGTTGCTGCTGGATTGCGAGCCTGCTTTTCCCCTGATCAAATAAGCCCAGAATTAATTCGCGTATTCGGGCCAGAAAGGTGAGGTACCGTAGAAACGCACCTTCATTTTCTATGGCTTGATAGACAGTATTTAATTCACAGTGTGTGCAAGTCCCATTTGTCAAAGGCTTCCATGTCATTGTAGTTTTCCGCGAGTTATGTGTTGTACATTCCTTTCATAAGATATAGGAATGTAGGGCTTGTCAGTGTGATTGCCCAGCTCGCGCTGTTTTTATTGCGTGGGATCATTTTTTTGTACGCCTTCAGTAAAAAGGCGAATCTTTTTTAACCGACGAGAAACAGCCCTTTTTACTGGTTCTCTTGACGAAGAGGAAGCACAGCTCAGCTCGCTTGTTAGTTTCAGCTGCTATTTGCTGGGTAGTGCAAATGTTCAGCGCTGTTTTTGGTCAAAAAACCGAGCTCGAGGAGATCTATGTAGCGGGCTGTTTTTCGCCTATGAATTCCATTGGCCCTCCAGAAGCCATGTGCCCGAAAACGTAGAAACACGAATTTTTTCGCCTTCCTGTAGGTTCACCAGATAAGCCTCGCAATAAAAAATAGCTAATTTTTTCTTTCTCCGCAGCTGTTGCTTTCTTGGAACAAGTATCGAGGACATAGCTTTAATCCCATTGACCGTGTACGCAAAACCTGGTAAGTATTACATTTTGAAATAAAGCGATGCAAGACTGGTGAAATAACAAAATGACGGGGGCAGAAATGTCAAGGCTGGGAATAAGGTGTGCTGAAGCAGCACCTTTTCTTGCGAAAAAGCTGCTAAGCTGCTCTGCTGGCACAATGAGACAAGAGAAGAGAGCTCTAGGATAAACGCCTGCCTAGAATCTTTTAAAGTTAGCAACAGACTTTTCACAAGCACTGTCCTTGTGAAAAGTCTATCGCTAACTTTAAAAGAAGCCGCATGGTAAGCAATAGCTACCATGGTGGGCTTGATGCCTTAAATGCTTTGTATCTTTGCCGAACTATGTTCTCAGTTGCCGCTACTCTACACAGTGCGATATCTCTTACTTGGTGCCAAGTGCCCATAAGAGTAATGCACAATGGCAAGTGGTGCTGCTAAAGGCTCGGTTCTCATTCTAATACGTGCAACAATGCTCAACACTTTGCCGCTCTTCTGATTCTGACTGCGAGTGTCAATTTGGGGCCTCTATGAGTTTTGGTTGGTCTATTCTATTGTTCGCTAGGAAGTTTGCAGAAGACCTACAAAGAAGGGTAGGTTTTAAAGGTGCGTGCAAAGAACATCTGGGCTCAGGGGTTTGGGCGTATCCGTACACCAACGCTGCATATAATCTTGCATCCGCTCGTGCCCTTGGGTGCAACAACACAGGCTGTGGAGGTTCGATGGATGCCAGCGAAATCGAAACAATATTTAGGAACCTTTGTAGCGCATGCACTCTCGTTTCACTTGATTGCTTGATCAGGGACAATGCCCTACTCTCCCCACCGACTGCATTTTCATGCTCTCAAACTAATCAATCGACGTTTTTCCTTCAACTTGAGCATACTAGATCCTGTATTATATCCGAAAGCCGAGAGGCACTTCCAATGCGGGAAGTCCAATTCAAAGGGTTTAGTATTTAGAGGTTTCGCGCACAGTTGTCCCTCAGGGTTCACGCAGCTTCGGTTCCATCGACGCCTCTCTGGTATAGCCGAAGTCGGAGTTGCGCCTAAAACACCTTTGGTGGCCCTGATTTATTGGGCTCCAGCCTGCAAGGCACTTCTTTGTCCTGATGCAATATATTAATAGGCTTTGCTTCGTCTCAGCCAGTCAAACTCAGCATTCTGATGCGCAATGAACATCCACGTGCATGCATGGCAAGCTTTGTACGAGTCGTCCTGAGCGCCAGTGTCGCAATATACGTGTCTAGCAAGCCTCAGCATGCTCTCTAGTTTATAAAAAGTATGTTGAGTAGGCATCGGGAGCTTCTGCTTCACTATTTTCTTTTTGGACCTGCATTAAACGCCTTCGGTGGTTGATGTCGTCCCATTTCGGCACCCAGGTCATGCCCTCCAAGCACTGGGCTATTCGTGGACATACAATTTCTCAACAATTTGTCCGTTCGATGCTTAGTCTCCTCTTCATACTATGCGGCTTTCTGATACTGCACAACGTAGCTAGGGGCTGCCCTAGGGATTAGCTCAATACGATGTGCTACAGGTGGCCACCCTAGTGACAGCTCACCATTATTTACCAGATTCGTGAGCTCCTTGATATTTGATTATCCCCAGTGTTCCTTAGCTTAAGATTCAATGGAGTTTTCTAAACACACCTCCTTAACAGTCCGTTGGAACGAATGCAGACTCTGGACCCTCTTCCTTAAGTGCGTTGTTGAGTCACCCCCATGGAAAACGTTTTTTACCTTGTTGAAGCACTGCGTTTACGTCCTTCATCACATGTGCGATACGCGTTTTTGAGAAAGCCAGGTGTTATTCCAAACGCTTTTCCATACACCAGCGTCCACGGCACGTAGCCGTGGCCGCATGCGCGCCTTCCATTGGGTCACTGTCACGCATGGCCTATTTAGGATGAGATTATGGTGAACCGTTACAGCATAGAAGTCACGGGCCATGCTGATAGGACCGGCTGATGAATTCTTCGAGAACTTGCCCATCCTCATGGCCATCGTACTTTGAGAGTTGAACTACCCTCATGAGTGCATTAAAACGCTTCACTATCATAAAACTGGCGCCTTGTTATTAGCTGGTAAGCTACAGCGTTCACATCACCTCGGAAGCCGGCCTAAGCCTACCCGACAAGGCGTTGCGACGCCTTCACCCTCAGTCGCGAATGCTTTCCCCAGACTGCTGCCAATTTAAATAACAGTATTAATGTAACTTACCAAATGCTTTAATACAAGCCAGACAATCGTTGTAGGGAAAAATGACGTCCTAGAGCACCTGGAGTCAATGGGTTAGCTGGGAAGCTGTATCGAGCTGTACGGAGCTCATAGTAGCGCTAAGCCTAGGGTGCATTGAAAAGCACTTAACTCAAGAGTTAATGCAACAATCAACCATAGGTATTAATTGCTACTTGAATAAGCATGTGTCTGCGCTTGCTTGCGTCCGTCAGAACTCTCCATATGAGGAGAGAGGGGCATCTACAGTGTGCGCAGTTGCACCCTCAAAGCCTCCGAGCATAGACAGCTGGTTACGCACAGCATCTAGCGCCTACAGAGCGGACTATCATTGTACCGAGCAAACGCTATTGTGCACTGGCTAGGATACCAACAGCCGAAGTAGATGGCCAAATATTCAAATTCACAAATACATGAAACTGGTAGGTAGGAAGTTCCGGAGTGTAACTCAGCTGCCAGCTTCGAGCAGGAAGGCAGCCTTCGTTCGAATTATTGTACTAATCAAGCTCTACCATGCAGCAAAAGATTATGAAAGAACTGTCCCAAATATCATATTCTTGCTCAACTCTTAATCGAATAGAAATGGTGTATTAGAACGTACCAAAGTGTAGGTGAGCCCGCTATACCTTGTAAGAGAAAAAGGAAAAACTGTGATCTCGCCTCTCAAATGAGCCAAAATTTATCCTTGGTATTTGTTTGCAGAAGTTTTAGACTAATAAAGGAGGCACTTTTAGGGTGTCCATCGTTGCAGCGTCCGAGTTTTGGGGAATTTCGCTCCCGGTCGCACCGAACTAATCAGTATACGCGCCTAGAGCAAATACGCTTCTTGTGGGGTACTAGACCTAGACCGTAACAGATGGCATCTATGACCAAAAAAAGAACACACGCACTTCTGCATGAAATTTTCAGTGACCCTCAGCATTTCAGCTGGTGGCTTGACATGTTTGACTAGCAATCACTGCCGGTACCCGGAGTTCGCCCCCTTTAAAAAAGCAGATGCATGGCTATCACATACATGGCCACTTAAACGAAGAAGTAAACAAAATTGACTGAGTGAGAATGTACAAGCTCTAGCGTACTTCGACTGTGCAGACACGGTGACATCGACAACCTTGTTATCAAGAGGATATTGCAGAAAAGTATGGGAGGATGACACACCAAGCATTCTAACACTCAAGACAGATGCTATTTGAGTTAAGGGGAAAAGAAATACACTGATTTTTTTACGTATACTCTGCGCTCACAGCACGTTGGAGGGAAGCGAGCAGACTCCCTTACCATCAGCGCTACGCCGATACCAGATTCCTATTTCCACTGTATTTCTGGATGACTTAGGCACTGAAATTACACAAAAATACAGTTGGGGCTTTAAAAAGGCAAAATTTTCATCCTTTAAAAGCAATTTTCCCTTTCTTCTTTTCTTTTCTAAGGACAAGTGAGTCACAGAAGGGGGAGGAGCTCCAAACACGTTGATGTTTGACAGTGCATCTTCGAATAATAGCCGTAAGAGCACAGATTCATTCCCGGCAAGCAATAGCCATTTTCTTCATATCATTCATCGCCTCCTTCAATATGTTCTCTTAAACGCATACCCATTATACCACACTTTTGGCTCCCCCTTTCGTGTTCTTTGTCACTGTTTGGAGCTCTCTTTTCTGCCCTAACTCCCTACTTCCCCCCAGCTTTATAGCTTTTCAGGCGCCAAGTCTTTTGACCCTCGTGTTTTGCTACATTCTTCTCAGTGACTTCCACCCTTGAGACACGCCTTTTCATTGACGGAGAATTTCGGGAGCCCCGGGGAGAGAGGACTTGGAAACTTAAGAATCCCGCAACCGAGGAGGATATATGCGAAATCAAGGAAGCGAGGTGAGTTCCCCCTTCACCATATGTAACAGTCGTAGTACTTCTGGGCTGTAACACAAGGGCAGTTCTGAACTTCGTAAACGCTTTCCTTCAATACGCCTAGTCATGCATTTAAAGGGGTAATGCTATTCTCTGTCTTTTCACTAGTACTCCCCATCGCTACTTCGGCATTCTTTTCTTCCTCCATCGTCTCGCCCACTACCTTCTGCTTCCCGTAGCTCCCTGTTTACCCTTCCCCCTTTCTCCTCTAGCCCTTTTTCTGGCCGTTCCCTCCCTGTTAAACCCAGCCCTGCTTTATTTGCATGTTTGTGTCAGCAAGGCAGATGTCGAAGATGCAGTACGCACCGCTAATAGGGCGTTCTCTTCGTGGTCCCTCCAAACTGCCGCGCGTACCAGAGGGGCCTTGTTGATGAGCCTCGCAGATTTATTGGAGAAGGAACTGGACTCAATGGCCGCCCTTGAATGCCTTAATGTTGGAAAGCCCTTCGAATGTGCCAGGTGTTGCCCGATACAGATCCCACGGGCTGTATGCATAGGTGGACGTCTGCCGAGTCGCGCGGCATGCTTGGTCCCTAAGCTAAATATAGATAATCAAGGCTAAGAGCACGAACGAAAAGTTGCTCAGAAGTTGTAGCTGCAGAATGGCGACCAGTGGAATCTCAGTGCTTATGCTCGGCCAAAATTCCCCTTTCGTGCACACTGCTGTTTTTTTGTTCTGTGATAGAAGCTCTTCGTGAGTTTGGTGCATGTTTTAGATCTCGTTCTCTAGCCTGCGGCATCATATTTATTGCTATTTCAGCCAGCAACCCTAGCTAGTACAGTCGTTTCAGTAGCGTCCATCTACACGCTGTAGCACCTGCAAGTGTCGCCTACGTTCGTCCATCTGTCTGTGGGTCAGGTTGGTCTCCTGGGCAGCAAAGGAGGAGCATTTGCTGCCAGCTCGCCCCCGAAGCTGAGGGCCTTTTTCCCCGTTTATTCACATCTTTCAGTCTTCTTAATTTTGTCGCTGGATGTGTCTGTTGTCTTTGCTCTCAGATCCGATATGCATACGTGCGTTGCCAACCTCCGATACTATGGAGGTTGGGCCGACAAAATTAGAGGCGGTGCGTACATCCCGGTGCTCGACAACGAGAAAATCTCTTGTCACACACGGAGGGAACCCGTGGGAGTAGTAGCTGCGGTGAGCCATGATTGCACTCACAGCAATAGCTGTGCCTGCACCAGTACCTGACACACCTGCAGAATCCACAGCAGCAGGACCATTGTGTGTTATGTCGCCCTTTTTTTATGATTACTCTGCCATATATCGGTAGTTGTTTTGCGAGTGGTATTCCATATGCCCCCAGCCGTAGAGCTGCCCTAATTCTCAATTATGTCGATACAACACTTGTTAAATTTGGCCCTCCCTGAATCCCATCTATTCCACACAAAGCACATTGTCTTTCGTTATTACCCCACAAGCTTTTAGCTCACCTTATTTAAGCAGCTTTGGCCTTTTTAATGCCTACCTAATCCTCCTCCATTCTTGTTTCTCTCTTTGCCAATTCTTCATTTTACCATTCAGATAGTTCCTTGGAACTTTCCTTTGATGCTCATGGTGCTCAAGGCGGCGCCAGCATTGGCATGTGGCTGCACCGTCGTGGTAAAGAGCAGCGAAAAGTCACCTTTGACGGCGCTTGCATTCTGCAAGCTAGTGCAGCGAGCGGTGAGGAGCACGGAGAGCTGTAAGAAAGGTTAGAGAGAGAGGGTACGGAGAGACACGATACGAGAGAGGAAAAAGGTGACAGCGGAGGAGAGATTGTTAGGAAGGTAACGTACTTTTCCGAAGCACTGGGCAAGATGAGTCACCGGCGATTTCGAAGTATGGTGGCAAAAGGGTACCGTTTTGATGGACGATTGCGTTCACAAAAGGCTTTAGAGCCAGTCTGATACGCGATTCAAGAAGTGGATAAAAGGGTGGAATGTGGCTATTCAGAGGCTGTTAGTTTGAACGCATGGTAAAGCTGCGACGCAGGAAATGCAATAGAGCTAAATATAAGGGAACTGCCGTAGCAGTATGTGACTTAGCTCCAGGACCTGCACACGTAGTATAGGAGGCTCGCTTGTTTGGACATCGCTCATGCAACTGACAGGATCACGCAGAACGTAAACATACTTTGAAAGAGAAATGAACAGCTTAAATACATTGGAGGCCTTTTTCCCTACCAGCTGTCATTTCTTTTTACGTGCGCTCGTCCATTTCTACAATATTGCTGACTCTGTACACATTGTGGAGGCATTCCACCTGCGTCTCTTCCGCTTCTGCTCTTCATCTTCTGCGCAGGGCCTGCCCCCAGGCGTTCTAAACGTTCTAAATGGATGGGGGGATACTGTGGGCGCTGCTTTGATTCGTAATCCAAATGTTGATAAGGTTTCTTTCACTGGATCTTCTCATGTTGGTCGTTTGGTGGCTGAGGAGTGCGCGGCGACCGTAAAGAGAGTGACCCTCGAACTAGGGGGTAAAAGCCCCTTGGTGGTACTCAATGATGCAAATATTAAAAACGCTTGTGAAGCTACGTGGAAGGGCTTGTTCAATAACTCTGGTAAGCACGTAAAGTGGTGCAAAGACAAGCGGTTAAAAGGGAGAGAGGAAAGTACGAAGTGGGGATGAAGGATTTACGGAGTTCGGTAGAGAAAACAGGACCAAGCTTTGCGAGATCTGTGTAGAGCTTATCAGGAAGCTTACATCTTAGAGCATGGAGTCCGTTGCATACTATTTCTCGCCTGGGTTTTTCATGTCTGCGGTGTTCAGGGCAATGCTGTGTAGCATGCAGTAGGGTGCTGGTGCAGTCTGGAGTGTATGACGAATTTGTAGATAGCCTGAAGAAATGTGTCTCGGAGAAGGCCAAACTGTGTTGCCCCAGAGATCCCAGCTGCACTCAGGGTCCTATAGTTGACGAAAAGCAACTGAAGATGGTTATGAATTACATTGAAGAAGGGAAGAAACAGGGTGCTATCTGTGTGATGGGAGGCAAAAGGAAAGAGGGAAAGTCAGAAAAGCACTCACATGAACCCTTCTATGGGCTAAAGCATCAGTGATAATCGTATCGAACAGAACATTACGACTTTGCTGTAGCTTTCCCAGGCATCTACAGAAACGGCCAGTATCCCATTGCATAGATAGATTGTGCAGCCTATGCTCAATCGTCGTCCTTAATTACGAGGAAGCAGTAGCAACCCCTGCCCTAACCCTCCGCTCAAACTGGTGTTTCTGCAATTGATCTCTGACTCTGCCATTTATCCTTCCTTCCTTCAATTGGTTTTCTCTCTGCTCAGGGGATTCTGGGTGCTGCCGACAATTTTTACGGGGGTTACTGACGACATGAAAATATGCAAAGAAGAAATCTTCGGGCCGGTAGTTTGCGTCTCCAAGTTCGACACCATTGAGGAGGCAGTAAGAGATACATAATCGAGCTACATTTTCATAGTTTTCCACACTTACCCATTTGTAGAAAATGGCCCACACTGCCGACACAGTAGTTCCGGAAGGGGGAAGAGAGCAGTGTTAATCGTTTTCATTGAAATGCAGTGATTTCACTTGGAGGCTTTGCTTAGGTTGAAAGAGCCAATAATACACTCTACGGCTTAGGAGCCGGCGTCTTCACCTCGAGCATTCCACTAGCCAATTACTTCGTCAGCAGGTATGATAATTTCCAAAGCCTACAACAGACATTTTCTGCTTATCGATGCATTGGTTGAACCTACCAGTCACCAACGTCGTAGTTAGTTTCAAAGAGTAAACTCTAGAAGACGACGCATGTTTTCACTTTCGGACTGTCCACACAGCACACCATGTGCTCGCTGCTGCTGTTCGCTCAGGCTGCAGGCCGGTACGATATGGGTTAATACATATCTGAGTGGCGATGTTGGCATTCCTTTTGGCGGATACAAGGCGTCTGGTTATGGCCGGTGAGCATCTGGCCCTTTTCTAAACAGAATTTAAAGTGTTTGGTTGCATGAATATACACCAGCACTAAGCACGGCACGTGAAGATCTCAGGTGCATGTGTACGCATCATCGACCACTAAGAACCATACCAGTTTTATTCTCCTGCTTTGTACAAATATTAGGGAAGGAGGAGAGGAGGGTCTCATCCCATACTTGGAAATCAAGACCGTGGTGATGAACATTGAGCTATGAGCAAGCACGCTACTCCGTCCTTCCAGCAGATACACAAGAGACAAAGTATACTTAAACAGCCAAACACGAAGACACGCGTAAATGTTCGATCAAGCAAAGCTTTTGGCAGCTTGCAGCAAATTAATGAGGAGTAAAATATCAGACATGGTCTGTCGAACAGCACAAAAGTAGGTGAGCGGCGAAGGCCCGCTGTTAATTTCACTATTCAGGATGCGAGCGGGTTCTTATAGATTCAATCACCAAAAACCTTACTCAATAATTTGGGTATAGTCCTTTACATGAATTCACATACGTCCCCTGTTCTTGTATGTAGAACGAGCATGCCTTCAAGTGAAATAAGAAACCCAAGTCATGCACATTCTACACTCCACATACTCACGTACAGCCCACATATAGCTCTTCTCAGTAATCTGCTTTATACATGTACATATTTTGATATCCATTATATGTACACATAAATACACAAGGATATATGTGGAAGATGGATACACTAGTGGACAGAAAGCATGGGCCTGCCCGTCTTGCTAGTTCGGGAACGATTGAGGCGGTATGAATCTGCATAATCAGCGACAAAAGCTGCAAATCAAAAATACGAGCTCCAAAACTAGGTTGACTCACCGCCTACAGAAGCTCCACGGTAAACAGTTACACGTTACAAGAAACACCTAGAATTTGCCGAGCAGCGCACAAGGCAATACATTTGAAACTGTTTGCTTCCGTCACTACAAAATAGCCAATGCTGTGGCCTGGTTTCTTCGCTCAATTGAGAACGACACTCCTGTAGGGCATGCCTTTATCTGTTCACTCGTTTTTGCGTGAAGGGCAACGACCTTCTCCGTCGTGCTCCTTCAGATGCTTTCTTTTTCCTATTTAGTGTAGGATATGTACAAGTGTTTAGCTTCGAAGCCTCCAAAATGCTGGCACGCCCAGGGCTATCCAGATGTTTTTCCTGTGGTGTTTAGATCCTTGCTGAGTCTGCTACAGGTGCGAAGTGCAAGTTTCAACATCTTCACTTTGCCTTCCACGCACGCCGAGCCCGTCGGATCATAGTTTGCCTACGACCAAACCAACCAAAAACCCTAGAGAATAATGCAATAGCAGTGAATAAGTGTAGCCATAATACACCAGCTACGTGAAGTGAAGAGCTATGAAACGAGGAAGAAAATAGGCATAATGCACAGCGTGTCGAAGCGACACCTTTCCTCCACTGCGTTGGGGCGGCAATAAGGACAGAAATGGAAGGAAAAAATGTTGTTTCGTGCTTTTTAAGGCTGCAACTTAGACTAGGCTATGACTCGAAACAAGCAGAAAGAAACAAGCTACCAGGCTTCTGATACGCATAATGAACACGCTTGCCAGACTACTTACACCGAAACAAGCCTCACCTGGTCCCATTGTAGAGGCGAACCATCCACAGTGGCTAGCCCGCCTGTTTGTACTCCTCTCACCAGTCCAACAAGGAATAGACAATGAAATTCGCAATCGATGAAGTCGGTTAGTTCCGCCCACTTCTTCAAGCATTGGATATGCTCTCCACCGCCCCCATAAAACAGCCCGTTGCTTAAGCCTATCCCTGGTTTCAAGGGTATGCTCATTTCTTTTCCCACTTCTATGAGGGCTTGATGAACTTCAGGAGTGGCCACAGCCGGCATTCTAGTAGAAACATACATGTCGCAAACGTCGGGGTCCCTTGCCACAGCGTATGGTACAACTATATCTCCTGGCTTGATCTTGTCTGGTTTCAGACTGCCGCAAGTGCCAGCTCTTATGATAACTTTGGCCCCTAGTTTAATGAGTTCCTCAAAACAGATCATGGCGCCTGCTGCCCCTACACCGTGGGAGATAACTGTAATCTTTTCTCCGTCGATTTCTGCCGTTGCAGATTTGTATTCTCTGTTGTATGACAGATGTTCATACGAGTCGCACAGCTCTAAGACAGCATCAACACGTTTGGGGTCCCCCATTGTTAGTACTACTGGCTGAACCTGCCCCTGCGCGGGAAGAATGCACAAACACGCAGAAATCGGGGTGCTACGGAAAGAGAGAAATGCAAAACAAGCATGAACGTAAACAAAGAAAATGCGTGAGAAAGGAATGAGCTTGTTGCAGTAGAAACGAGAATCAAAGCGATGAAACGCACTGTAATTTACTGAGTGCTATGCTTTCGTTTAAATACGGTTTCAGTTGGACTGGCATTAGAAGTCTGCGGTCTAGTGCGTCGTTGATTTGGGCTTTGTTGTAAAACTGGGAGGGGAAAGAATTTTGGAAACCGTTTATTGACCTGTCCACAATTCTCATGTATATAAAATAGAGCAATTAAAATAGTGACCTGCTAGGGCTTTTGGTTTTACCTGCCGTAGCTGAATGTGTGGTTGTAATTCAGTGCCTTCCATCGTGTTGCGTTCCTTCTGCTCTTCTTCGACGAGATGCGTTAAAAATTCCTAGGTAAATGTTACAAATAAAGAAGAAACATGATATGCGTCTTTGGTCGACGTGTAGAAAGACTGAAGGGCACACTGGCGCTGCCACAGGTTGATTTGTAAGTAGCGAGGTGGGAGCAACGAAGCTGCACCAAGGCCACGCAGCCCACAAGGCGACACTGAGCAATATTTAACGGTAAGCAGCGACAGATACCCATCTTGATTAATAAAAATCTATATAATTCGTTTTTGTCTTACTGACGAGACACGAAAAAAAATACCTCCTTCCCACCTGTGTCTCTTACTCGATTTGTTTTCAACATACTCGGAAGATGAGGTCCAACAGCGTCCCTACCCAGATTACACGATATGGGGGGCATGCTACTCTGCTGCTTGAGTTTCTACTGCCAACATACCCTCTTCCTCTTCTGTATATTAAAAACGTAAAAATGCATTTGGACATGCCAATTCTCCTTGAAGAGCAGCGTTGTGCATCTATTGTTTCCTTAACATCTGTAAAAGATTCACTTCTGCGCCAGCAAAAGAACTCGTAGTTCAGGCATGAGGGGAGATTGAGAGCAATGGGCCTACTGCTGCACCCCTCATTTAATCCGGGTATGTGTAGCTCGATGCTTTCAGCTGTAAAGGTCTATAGAGCGGACTGAGGTGCACTTCAAGCACTTTCTACTAAACCAGTTATCTTCGACTAGGAATTGGCTGAGAATTGACTATTTGGTTCCTCTCTCCATATATTGATCCCATATTGATGTCAGCTCGATGTCGCAAGGCGCAGTGTGTGCGTGTGAGCTAAATGCTGTGCGCAACTAGCAGTGCGGGGTCTCCGTGCTCAGACAGTGGTGGACACCCTAGCTATCCCTTCTGCGCCTTGTGGGAACTCTGAGAATGAAGCGGACAGGAAAAGGTGGGGCTTTTTTTGAAACACTTGATTGCTTTTTATGAATTTTTTAGGCTGGAAGTAAGTGCTTTCCCCAGAAACCCCGGGCACAGCACTACCGTTAGTAGCATTGCACGGTCGAACACAACTTTTCCCCGCTCATACACTGAATTCAGGTGCCTTGGGACGTCAGTTTTTGCTACAAGAGTGGTCGCTTTGATCAAGTCAATTGGTACCTTAATTTTTAATCTGTTTGGCAGCAGTCTAAGAAATGCGTTTGCGACCCAAGTTGCCGGAGACCCAACGTCTTGTCGGATTGGCAGAGCCCGGCTTCGAAGGTGACGTCGATGCAGTAGCTCCAAAGCTAGTATAAGCACGCCACTTTCAAGCTAGTAAAATGTTTTTCGATGAGCTCACGAGGCTACACCGTCCCTCAAAGCACGATGGCCGTGAGGGTGGGCAAGTACTCGCAGACTTCATCAGCCGGTTGGAGTTGTACGTTGCCTTGGAACCTTCGGCTAAACAAAAGCACCACTTTTTGCGCCATATTAATTGAAGGCAGAGGCACTTTATTGGTGGGTCTATTAGTATACAGGAAGACGTGTAGCTGCAGTGACTATTACAAGACAAGCCTTCACACAAGGCCTTTCTCATTGGCTTATACAACCATTAGCTCAGCAGTAAGCCTGGATAAAATAAAAAAAGCGGAGGCAAAGGCATTTTCCAATAAACAGGCATATCAGGGAGCGCGAAAACTTGGCTCGCAAAAGCCACAATGTAGGAGAACAGCTACTGTATCAGTGGCTTATCTAGACTCGAACAAAATGTCATGCCAAGCGGTCGCAAAACAGGCAGCGACTCAGCTACTGAAATACCGACTGGTGGGGCGTCCACAATTACTGGACTCCGTGAGACTTCTGGGACAATGAGCGCAATCCCTGCGCTTTAAGCTGACACAGAAGACGCAGTACTAAGTGGAGAACACAGAGATACGGAGTGTGTCAACCAACCCTAGCCTGCAGTGTACGGTGAACGAGAAAAGGAATCCAGAGAGAGCCTGCCCCCCAACGCAGCCACAACACATACCAACACTGTAATTAATTCTATTGTGAGCAATTGACCCAAATAATGCGGAACTGCACCGCATGCAGAAGGCCATAGAACACTGACCAAAGGGACTGGTTCCAGCGGAAGCCTTGGCAGCCAAGACGCTCATCAGGGAAATGGAATTCACCTCACTGCCGCCTGCAGCCCAGTGAAGGGGTCTACAGAGGATTGAGTCGCATGTGGTGAAGCACAACGGGTCAATTCAGAGCTCATACAAACTGTCAACTTACTGGTAAAGAATTGGCCAGGTTACATGCATTGGATCTTAAATGGATCTGTTTTACAGGGAGGGGGCGCAGAAGTGTAACGTGGCGTTCCACTCGTGAGCGCAGTCACAATGACTTCGGATTGCTGATGGGCGACAGGAAGCAAGGGTCGGCAAGACTACGACACTCAACTGTTACTTCAAAAGGAATTGGGTCCTATCAGCATGGTGTGTGACTTCTAGGTTGGGATCGCTTATCGTGATGGCACCCTACATAGGCCATGAATGATAGTGGCCCAATGGAAGGCGCGCATGCGGCCACAGTTTTGTGTCGTGGAGGTTGGTGTGCCTGAAGGCGTTTGGAACAACCGCCTGATCTTCTCAACAATGCTTATCTCATACGTGGTGGAGGGGCTTAGCCGCAGTGCTTCAACGAGTTGAGTCTGATTTTTAATGAGGGGGATTCAGCAGCGCACTCAGATAGGGGGGCTCTGAGCTAGCATCCAGTCTAAGAGGCTCCTTGTTAAAAATTTTGTTCTTAGAGATTCTATTGAACCTTAAGCGGAGGATCAGCACGAATATGCGGGTATCAAGGAGCTCACGAACGTGCTAAATAATGAAGGCCTGCGCATAGGGTGGCTACCTGTCGTTCACCCAGCGTACCATATTGGGCGAATTCCTGGGGCAGCCCCAAGCTATGCTGCATAGTATCAGAGCCCCCTATAGTATGAAGAAGAGACTGAGCATCAGGCGGATATATTGTCAAGACTTTGCACAGTGAAATAATTGATTAGTGCTTTTGCACAAATGCTGGCGCTGTTGCCGAAAACCGACAGGTAGTAGCACATATGCGTTAACGCAGTTCTCGAAAAGAGCATTGTGAGGCACAAGTTCCTGATGCCTCATATTGGCGGATTAGTTGATGAAGTACACGCAACAGGAATCAACTGGACAGGTTACCGCACAGAAGCCTTTTACAAATCGCCATTCACCCAAATGACAAGGGCAAAACAGCGTTCCGGAGTAGCACTTGCAGACTCCAGCATGCCTCTAAGCGATTTGGACCTGCTAACGCCTCAGCTGAAATGTAATTGCAAGCTGCTCAATAAACCTGTTATGAAGGACTGGATGGCTGCCTCTATGAACGAACTCTTCGTAATCAGGCGATACGTTCAAGAGCGCTTCTCAAGCCATACGGCGTCTGCTTCAGCTGTTGCCGAATACGCAGTGGTAAGTGAGGTCAAGCAAATGCTCAGTTTTCATGAAAATAGCAACTTTCCCGGGATACTGTGCTTCGACTCCAAAAATCGAAGTTGCAAATTTGGAAGCAGTCAAGTTCGGGCCTTTACCTTTCCGCACCCGCAAGGATGTTACGAAATTTTGTGGGTTGAATTAATGTGAAATTACATTTCTGCTGATACGGCTGTGCCTGTGACTAATCTACATAAGGAAACGCAGTCCGCCACCGTATAAAGCAGGTTGATGCCATAACAAGGACTCTTAACGGCCACCCTAGCACTTATTCGGTCCCACCACTGCCGTGTCATGAAAGCCGTGTCTTCCTATCAACCTATGCTAGTGACGTAGCAGTGGGTGCTCTTTCCTCCTAGCACGCTACTGACTTCCCCAATTATGAGACTGCCGCATTGTACCTGTTTTTCGTGACCGAAGCTGAGCAGTGGAAGCCTGTGAGGGAAAAGGAAGTTTCTTTGGTGTAGTGGGGTGAGCTAAAGCACAACACAATTTGTATGGACTGTCCAGAACGACGTTCGTATATTGATGTACCTCACAAACATTGTTCCGTACAAACACAATCATAGAATTGCTCGTTCGCTTGCGAGCTTCTGTTGTAGGACTTAAGAGTACCGTATGTCAAGTCCATCACCAACGTGGTCGTAGCGCCGATCATTCAAGGGTACAGGGGCTCACCACTGTGCAGCGCAGCCACTCATGTGTGTGCTGAGTCACTGTTTCTACGAGAATCGGCATACCCTTGCCTTTGACACCATTTACCTGCCAATATTGCCAAGTTCAGAGAGGCGAAGAGTGAAGCACCTGTATGTTGACGACCACCTTTTGTGGCTTAAGCCAAAGCCAAGCTTCCATCGCTTGTACAGCCAACTATGTACCGCATTAATATTTTCGGTGGAACACATGGTCATGTTGATGCTAATCGAGGTGGGATTCCCACAACAGTGCAAAAGCACTCACGGTCTTTCAGGTGGTCTGGAAGGCATCCTGCGGCAGAAGAGTATGCGCTATCCAACCCAGTTCGTCAACAGCTGGAGCAGCACACTTTTCCTAAATTCAGTTTCCTGCAAAAGCCCTCCGGTTCCTCAAAGTGCTCGATTGATCTCAATGCAGACTTCATTCTTGGACTGGCGAGGTCAAGTGTCAACAAAGGAACACCTCCGTCCTTTTATCCAGCACCTCAACAAGTATGCCCATTCCGTCCATTGATCCAGCTCTCCTGTGGCTCACGAGGTCGCTCAGCTCTCCTTACTTCGTTTCTGGGAGCCCCACGTATTCTCCACATGTGGCGATACGGACAAATAACCGAACTTTGTGTGAGAGTGCTGGCGTTCCTTCGTGACCTGCCTATACATTCACCAAAATATGAACGTTGCGACCCACACTGAGCCAAATGGACAGACCCACTACTAATATTGAAATTTATAAAAAATTAAGAGGCTCCCAAAATTTT